TGTAAAGAGAAAAATACTTAATAAAACATCCTTGAAAAATATAAAAAAGTGATGGTAAATTCTGAAAATATAATTATTCTGACTTAATTAAGAGTGATAACGTTTTTTTTCGGTAACAACTGTTGTCATAGCAAACGTTCTCTGAAAATGGAAAGTTGGAAATTCGTACGCCATATTGCGCGGTTCAACCGCTTCCTGGATCTCAGTCAGTGTACACTAATTGAAAGTCCTGTCTCTTGGGCAACCGCTTCAATTGGAATACGTTAATTAAAATCTATACCAGATGTTTTCAGAATTAAAACAAGAAAAAACAGATTATAACTGCGATTCTTTTAAAGATTTTGCTTTGATATATTATACAAGTCTTATATATTTCAAGTACGTATTTAGTTCACTAATGAGATGTATTTTAGTCACTTAATTCTAAGGTTCAAATTTCGCTCCTTTGCTTTAACTGAAGAATCGACACCGTCAAAGGAAAATCGAGTTAACAGCAGTCTCTAATTTGTAGTAATTTAATCCAATCTTGCCTCCAAAGGGTTACATGAGATTTCTGTTCAGAATTTTTTGTACAATCGTTAGAATTCTAAGGCATATTTCTAAGAAATAAAGCATTAATATTAACAATATTTTGTATTATTTAATTGTTTTAAAGTTGAACTAAATTTGAGTTAAAATAATTGAAAATGAATAAAAAAAACCTTGTCCTATCAGAATATTGTTATAATAGATTATTACAAGCAGTATTATATATTAAATACATTGATAAGGGACTAATATCGGTGCTTCGTAATCACAGCATGCGACCAAGTGAACTAAGACCGGATGAGATGGGATGAGGACAAGATGAACAGTCTGGACTGACGACAAGCCTTTATAGAACATGATAATTAATATAAGTCGACTATCGAGGTACAAAATACGATAATATTATTAAGTTTTGGTTATGAACTAACGTAATTTATTTAAACATTAACATATGTATATTTGTATTATATAGCATATTTATTTTTTCTAAGATTTCCGCGAGTATTCATTTAAATGACACTAATATTTTCGGATTTACTACGTGATTTTATTTTTGACTATAAACCACATACTCCCGACGTTTCGGTTACTTTACAATCGAAAGTATTAGTTTCATTTATATTTATTTGTTATTTACAACTACTTTTAACAATTGAAATTTTGTATATTTTTTTTTAAATAATATGTTTCCGTGCAAGTAAAAAACAAATAGTAAAATGCTTTATATATCACGATGCTGTAGTACTGTGGATTAGGGTCGGATAGGCGGCATTGCTTTGAAAATGTAAGATAAAAAGGAAAACTCACCTCAGCGTTCCTCTCGCCGCGAGAGGTAATTTACCAAAAGATTTTATTTTATTTTAACGCAGCTACGTTTTTAGTAAAATAATTTTTGTTAAACGTTAATTCAAATTTCACGAAATATATGTATACATAGATATTTTTAAATATATAAAAACAATTACAGTTTCATCTTTTATATAAACGTCTTGTTTAATTTTTTTAATATACGATATAGCGGTAACAATGAAGTCATGAAGAGAAAGATGTTAAAAATAAGTTAAAAATTAAAAAAAATGTCATTTAGTATGAAGTGAATGCGGACTATGGCGTGGATATTAAACTCACAAAGGCGTTTGTTTTAACCGGTCTCACAGCTTGTTGCTCGCTTGAACTTCTCTTCTATTTAAAAACCACTATTAACCCATTGTTTTTAATTACTGTAAGTGTCTGAACGATTGTTCCAGCAATCTTTATAGAATACCTTTTCCGAATGAACTTTTCATTCATTTGTTATAAAATCTTTTACTTCATACTTATGAATATAAATAAGGAATTTATTTTACTTTATATAAAATATTATCTACAGAAAGCTTAAGAATTTAGGCCTCATTGATAACCGTTTTTTAAATCTATTCACAATTGGAAATGTATAAATGTATAAGATTCCTATTAATCCAAGTTCGTTCGATATTGAGAAAACATTAAATTTACACGGTTATTTCCATCTTAAATATAATCTAGCATCAAAACTAGAAAGACTTGTTTAAGCATTACCCATACGTTATATATGTCTAGATTGATATATCATTTCAAAATCATCTGTAGGAGAAACAAGTTAAACTATGATGATTTCAGACACAAGTTTCTACTTAATCAATGAGTAAATAGCAATTAACAGGAGACCCAGTAAACAGTGAGGTTGATAAAACTGTCGATTTGTTTACATTGATGAAATTTGTTCTGTTGCTTGTATTTAATTTGCTTTTGCCTTACAATATTTTTCATTTCGGTCAAGCGCTGGTCGCTTTTCACAGCGAATACAGACGGAAATAAATTTAGAGTCAGCATTCCTGTAATTACCGTCCGAATGTTTTGTATACAAAGGGAAAAAAATGGTCGGAATGATCGGTCGATTTTGATGAATCTTTTAAAACGCAAAACTGGTGTTGAATGATTGATTATAAATATGAGAGTAATTATCTAACACGAAATATATATATTATTATGTATATCGTACTATATTGTATTTTTTTTATATAGCTTTAAGTAACAAGGTAAGTCGTTGTGGTTAAAGAGTTTGATTTTCTTTTCTAATAATTTTGTTTTTAATATAAGTAGATTCAAAATTAAAAATTATATATTTTTTTCCTCAATGTAATCGTTTAATTTTTCACCACCATAGTCGATGATATTTAAATTTGAAGCAATCTTATCCAAAAATGCCTATTATAATTAATAATTCTAATTTTATAGCTCAGTTTTAACCTTATTACAGTTTTCATTTCCAAACCTACCAACCAAGTTATTGAGCAATAACTAAAAAGACAAATGTTTTTGTATATAAATTCCGGATAACTGAATAAAATCTTACAATATCTCTTTTTCTCACTTCTCGTGTCACAAGACTTTTCTTTGATGAACGAATCATTGAACACAAAGAAATAGTCATGGTCATTTGACAGAGAGTTCGATAAATTTGTAATAGTTTTAGAAAAACCTTTTAGAACCAAGAAAAACCTTTGTCTTTTCTGTTCGTGAGATTATTTATTATGGCTGTTTAAGTCAAAATCATTACATAGATGGGTGGTATGACAGATATACGAGTACGAAGCTTCCGTAAAACGGCTCAGATTATTTCAGTATCTCAAATGAGAACACGTTTGATTAACGGTCAAATTCAATTAGCTCGGCCAGCAACGGCACTTTGGATGGCGTAACGAGTTTCGTAGTGCAAGCATTACAATAAAATGGAATTTAGACCTAAATGGATTTTTTACAGTTACAGATGAATTTTAAACGGCGTCTTCAGCAGTTACAATTTAATTACTAAATGCTGATTTAAATCATATTATCGTTATTATGTAGGAAAGATCTTTTCTTTATTAATTAATGAACCAGTTATGATGCCCTGGACAATATCTAGATTGGCACCACATTTTGGATACAGTTTTCAAACTACAAAACAACGGGAATGTGTTCAACTTATTCGGCAAAAAATTTTTACGAAGCTACAAACTGGTGAAAAACACAGGCGAGATGAATTCCCGAAAAAGCTCTCAAATACTTTTTGCAACTGCTGTCATGAAACGTTTGGTATTTTTTGGGACGACATAGCTTCAGGCGGAATGTTATCGGACTTACAATTGAATTGACTTGTCCTTACGCCATGATAATATGCAAACATATTTTTTATTTCTGCTACATTATTTATTCGCTAATTTGTTTATAAAAGACTCCTTTAATATATACATATTTTTGTATAATTAAATGTCTATTATGTCTCTTTTTAATAGAACTTATAGCTATTGGCAAAATAATTTGGTAAAAACTTCCGTGATTTCAAGTTTAAATAAATGAATTCATTTGGACCAAACCGTTTCATACTATGTAACGTTCATATATATCTTTCCATTATCGATCGAGTTCCCTTGAGCTGATTGAATTTAACTTCAAATGGAGTTAACTTACTTTTCCCATAATATAAACCACCTTTATTACTTTTGATGAGATAAATTTTCAAACTTTTTCGCTTTACACTTAGCGGAGATCAAAGGATTTGGAATTGATGCGCGGAAAATAATCTAAAGGGGATTTCTAGTATATTAATGGTATTACTTACTTCTTTGTCTTTTTAGTTTTTTGTAAATGGAGTTATTTACGTCGAAGTACATGGTTTACAAGCTAACTATCGTGATTACTTACTATGAAAGTATATATAGTATAGATCAGTTTTATATGAAGGACGGAACGACCACACTAAACAAAGAAATGGTGACAACTCCCTTTGTCAGATTCATATAGGAGACAATAGACAACTTTATTATAAGCGATAAACGTAGATGTTAAACATACGAGTATGTAGAACATAAAAGATATTGGTACAAATATTATATTTCATAGTTGTAACGATTTTTACGATTTCTTTTTATTATTTTTACGGACAATCGAACTCATTTTTTAGTTTTGGTATCTGTCTGTGATGTTAACGATGTTAGTTATAAATAACTTTCAAAACTTTATTTTAATCATTTTCACGATTCGTGTTGTATTTGAAAAGTTAGAATGAGATTGCAAAATTTTAACAGTTTATGAATATACTTTTCGTTTCTGATCTTTAGCCGTAGAACTTCAACTAAACTAGATATATTTCTTAATATTAAAAAGTTATATATGTGTTAGAAAATAGGTATTTTTCAAACGCATCATGTCATCATCGATTCAATAAATCTCCGCCGCCAATTCCTTACCACCGAGGCCCTCCAGGCTTACCAATCCTTTAACAGCCAGCACAATCACTTATCTGAATCGATTGATAAACAAACGCGGTAGGCGGACGCCTGTTGCGCGCACGAGGGTACACTCACCGGGAATCAGGGCGAGCAGCGCCAAGGCCACCAGCATCGGGGCCATGGCGGCGACGCGCGGGCATACCACACCCGCGCCCGCTGCGCTAGCACGCCGGCGCGCTCATGCGGCCTGACACTACCTGCGGCCGGCCCGAGCGGCGCTCGGCGCGGGACTGGGCTCCGATACCCCGGCACCCCCCACACGCCCCCCTCCAGCTGCGCAGCCTTCAGGTGCGCGAGATGCGACCTGAGGCCTCAGCCCTGCCCCTTGAAAATCCTCTTCGGATTAGGCCATTGTGTGGCCAAGCCGGGAATGTAGAGCATCCTAGCGAGCAGCGAGTGATGGCAAGTGGGCCACCGTCAAGGTCGCATGCAGCCCTCGCCCTACACATTCCCTTCGCATTTTATAATATTCAACAATGTCCGCGACTCGGCCCGCTTCCTAATACATTAATATTCATTATAACTATACATCTCCATTCACCTGGTTCCACATCATACATATATCTCAACTTATAACAATATTCCAACAGATACAAATTCGCTACCTTAAATATTATCTACCGCTCTATTCCACTTACACAAACAAGCAATTTCTTCTATGTTTACTGTTGCGATCCACGGAAAACAAGATACAGGAAAATAAGAACATTACAACGTAGTTTTATGAGCTAAAGGTTTCGTCGGGTAATAAAGTAGTTACATCCGTGAGGCTAGCCGCCGTATACATCATGCCGAGTAATACTAATCAATCACACTCGTGAAAATTATAAAGAAGGAGAAAAAACTACTATGAAGAGGAGTGATTCACAAATAATTAGCCTAAGAATACCCGGGTGGATATTAACAGTTCCCTCTCGAACAGAATATTTTTCTGACTTTCCCTAATTGATCTTTTAATGTGGACCATTACTCAGTCCTCGAGTCTTCTCAGTTCTAACAAAGGAACTAAAACTATAATTAGTAGTGACTCAGTATCGTCGCCGTACTCCGCTTCTAAATTACAGTTTATATACAATAAAAAGTAAGCTAAGGGTTCGTTAAATATATTTTGTAGACAACGATAATAATCTTATGAAAACTTTTCTTTTCAATTTTGTTTCAAATTACTTTTATTGTTGTTTACGCTCAGCTTGAAATTTTATAAGAATATTCGCCTTCAAAATATCTAAACAAAAACAAGTAACTTCAGATAAAGTTACTCTCACAACAAAGGTGTTTATTTAATTAATAGTACATTAATATTTAACAATAGCAGAAGATGACATCTTATATAAAGAACCCGAATATAAATGGGGACCATTGAATGTTTCAAGTGCTGCCTATCTTGACAAAACGTTCATGAGAATTGGCGTGAACAGTTCATTTGGAACCCTTAGTAAGAATTTAGATTCGATACTCATAGATCACATGAATTATGTATAAAAACATTGAAACGGTTGGTTTTTAAACTAACAATGAAAACTCGTCCTTAGAGTTGAACATCTTACATATGTCTGTACTAGATTCCTCTGGAAGAATGCGAATATTGTTCTAAGGAGACATTTAATAACTTTTATATGTTAGCAATAAAAAGACCATGTAACATGGAAATATGGCTCCCTTCTTTTATAGCTTAGGTATTAATACACTTTGTACACAGACAAATTCGTGCGAATCTATCTCTATTAAAGGACAAAATACTAAGTGATCTACTGATTTTCATGCTAATTTCACTTTAAAAGCAATTAAATTTACGATATTTGGTTGTAAAATTTATAGAAGTAATATTCAAATTCATTGCAATATTAAAATAATTGTTGAAAATATTAGAAAATCTGACTTTGAAATTCAATCTTCATATACAAAAGAATGTTGTGTTAGTTACACTATTTATAACTCAAGAACGGCTGTAGCGAAACGGTCGAAAATTGGTGGATACATAGCTTAGAACATGGGAAAGGACATATAATACTTTTCATTCGAACGAAAAAAAAGTTAATCAAATCCAAAATCTACGTATTTATTATCTTTAAGGAGGAAATAGATATCACCCGGTCAGTAATACATATATTACTAATTCCAAAATTAACGCGAAGTCGTGGGCAAAAACTATTCGCATTATACATGATGGATACCTCTCTATATATATAGAATACTTAAGTGCTGAATGACATTTGTATCTAATTTTTGAACTTTGAAAATATATGTCGGTATTTCTTTACTATACCTTTTTTATGAACTAACTACATACTAAGGGTACGTAATAATTGACTCTCTAGAGAACATATTACATTAAGGATACAATCATTACATAAAAGTACAAAAGAAACACATGCAAATGTATAGTGTTTATAAAAATCAAAATTAAAACAATGTCAAAATTCTAATTACCATGATCGGAATAAAGAATTCCTCTTAAAGGAGTCTCCGTTTTGCTTCGCCTCGTATATTTCTGATGCAAACTTAACCTTAATCTTTGAGTCGTATAATGAAAACGTACTTCTTGTAGCCAGTTGGCGGCGTAACAAGTAACAGATTTGCGTTTACTCTAGTTTTATGTTCCATTTAACTTAATATTATTTTTAGGTTTTTGTTTAAATTCATGTGTTTTCTTATTATTTCAAAAGAAAATCAACTTTAGACGATTAGGTTAAAAAAAATTACTAACATATGTCAAAACTAAAATAAAGCAAAAGTTGTCAGTTTATATTTATATTTTTAATTCTGTGTTAGGTCCTATTGCTTCCTTAATAATAGTCAATCAATCATTAGATGAAACAGGAACCTGGAACATGTTTGACGTAATTTGTCAGTCTCAGTTATTTAACGATATCATGTTCATTTCGATGTATATACTATTATATCAGATTATTATAACTAACTAAAAGAAATCTGTTCTCATTATTTTCTATTTAATAATTATTAAGAAGTTGTATGGTTGTAAACAACGATCATTTGTGATGAACCCTCAGGTGTAATCTTGTATATTATGTAAAAAAAATTATTTGGAATTACTTTCTCTGAAGGCACGAGTTGTGACAACACATTATCAATTAAAATATCATTATTAGCAGAAAATTTAAAGATACTTTTATATAGCACGTCAAGAGAAAAAAACTTTCAACCCATTTGAATGAAACTAATATTATTCGGATTACTACTGGTATTTTATTAGTTTAACCTTGAATACGGTTGCTGAAAAGAAACCGAAATGTTAGGAATATGTAGTTTTAAACTAATAAAAACGCGTAGTAATCCGAATATTATTAGTTTCATTTAAATGAATACTAGGGATAGTCTTGGATCTCATAACATCCAATCCAATCCTTCTAGAATCCTCATGAAGTAATAATAACATCTCATCAGTTCATTTTACTCTTTATTAGACAGTAATTATGTTAATATGGATCACATAGAACAAAGTAAGTATTCATACTTTTACTTAAATAATGAACGTGAAGGCAAGAATAAATTAATGTAGTAGATAAAGTCATTACATTAATGAGACGAATTTCCACACTTTTAAACACTCGCTTTGTTTTAGAAGAGAAGAAGATTAGTTCGTGTTTTTTTTATATTTATTGTGTATTAAGAAAAAAAGGTAAAAACTATTTGAAGTTCGAAATATTCTGGGCTAAATATAACTAATGAAACCCCTTCAAATAAAAGTTACGCAAAAAGAAAAATTTTCCGTCACGTACTCGGACTAAAGATTTTCACTTGTGACTTCCTGTAAGGACCTACATCGTATCCTGTGAATAGAATTTTGAAATTCTATACTTGAGCTTCATTCATTGTTATATCTAGTTGTACAAAATACCTTTTCCTATATTATACCTTATTTATTTTCGTAACTTCTTATATCCAATTAGTTCAGCATAAAGTTCTGTATGTAAAACAAAAGTACATCTAGCTCCCTAAATACGAAACCTCATAGAAAAGGTAACGTTATTTTTAATGTTATAAAACACTAAATAAACCAAAGTATATGGTTTTTTTTTATTACTACTAATTTCGGTTCCGATAGTTTGCAGGGTATCGAAATAATCTGTACGATTTCTTGAACTTTTTTTACTATGGAAGTATACTGAGTGCATATATTAAAAAAATATATTATCAAGTTTAAAAAGACAAATTTATAAGCTAGTAAACTGTTAGCAACTGGTTACCGGAATGCTTGCTCATTATAATGGATTTATTTACAAAAGGCTAAACAATAAACCCAATACACTACTCCACAATACTCGTCGTTTACTCGAAAAAACTAAAGAGATACATCCGGTACGACTCACAAAGAATGAATTGCTTCGCTGGAAAAACGCATACGTTCACAATGAAAAGGTTGAAACCACATTCAACCATTTGCAGATCCACCAGAATTTATTTTTTATGAAAGTATACACGTTTTAGTGATATCTAAGACTTTCGCGAATATTCATTTAAATGAAACTAATATTGTCAGATTAATATGTATCTTGTATTACTTTTAAAAACTACATACTCCCGAGGTTTCGGTTACTTTGCAGCAACCGTGATCACTTACACACGAGATAATACATTTTGCTAAACTAATAGAAAATATAACTTAATTATATTGAAGTATAAAAATATTTTTTCATGTAATCGAGGCCGAAAACTTTTCAGTCGATCCCAAAAGCAACACAGGTGTAACACTCCTCTATACAAGTTATCTTTTAGTTTAAAGTTCATCATACGGTCACCTTCACACCAGCGCCATTTTAACTTTGTAACTGAAAGCAGAGTGAAATATTAAATTTCGACAAAGGTCAACAAATACTTAATCGCATTTTCGTTATAGAGCTAACATATTTTTCTTTTAAATTAGTTTACCTGCCAGCATTAAAAATATAGTATGATTTGTAGAAAAGTACAGAAAAAAATTATAAGCACAGATTATAAATATATTAAGTATATATATTTAAAGTATATGAGTCCATGTCTCACCCCAAAAGGTGTTTAGATAAAGGATAAGTACTCTATAAACCAAACGGCCAAATCTCTTCAAGGCTCATTAAATATCTAAAGAACTTTTACTCCAGCACAAAGACCTCTCAGTACCATAAACGTTAAATATCTTAACCTTTACAGCTACCGAACACAAAATTATTAATATTGTTTTTAATTTCTTTGAAAAATTTTGTAGATCGAACACCTACATACCGATACTTAAACAATGTTATTTAAAATATCAAAAGTATTTAAAAGTAAGTATGCGTTCTAATAATATATCTACTTATGTGTTTTTTTATCATTCCCATTGTTTTTTTTTCGCGTTCCGTTGCGTTCATAATGTAATTTTTATTTATAATATAAAGCGTGATTGAACAAAATATGTAATATTTATAACAAAAAATCGATAATCTTTTTGCACATTTTCCATTTTTAAAAACACAAACTGTGATAAATTAACCTCAAAGATTCCGTTTCACACAACCCAAGCTAATAAAGGGGAGTTAAAAAACCTTTGCTTTTTCTAAACTTAGCTGGCTATTTTAATCAAATTATTGCCAATGAGTAACCAACAACACCTATATAAAATATTTCACATCAATTCAATAAATAAATGAAGCAACAACTTTCATTTAATCCGTACATAAAAGTTCCATAATAGTATCATTATTATAATGAACCCGTTATTAACGTTAACGTCAAAAAAGGAAACTTTTTTTCGTTATGCTGTGTTTTATCCCTTTTGCCGCGAGGGTTAAATTTTTAAAAGGGCTGCTTAATAAGGTTTTATAATGAAGAAAAATTTCAAGTTATTAGCGCCGCTATGATACATATGTATATACTACTAGAAGACCTGGCAAACTTCGTATCGCCCTATAATCAAGAAATATCTATTACGTTTTTTTATTTATATTTTTGGAGTTTATCTGTGAGCATTAAATCGCCGTGTTTCGAAGTGAGACAGAATGATTGACATATTAGTTAGTTGTCAAATCTAATGTCAAAAAAAAACGTTTGTACGGGAAATAGAAAAGGGCTGTTTTTATGGTTTTCCCAGTAATTAATAATTTTTTTTCAGCTTTTATACCTTCCCTGAACCTCCACGAACATTTCAAGACTAAGATAAGATAAATCCGTTCAGCTGTTCTCGAGTTTTAGCGAGACTAAGGAACAGCAATCCATTTTTATATATATAGAAGATATATTAAACATTATATTTTGTGTATACAGTAAAAGCAAATTTTGACATTTTCAATTATCAAATACTCTATATCTGACCACAGATTAAAAATATATTCAAGTTGAATAAACACAATAAGATTTTATCACTATTACCTGTATCTTTAAAATTTTATCTCTAACCAATATAATAGACTCAATAATTCAAAGTAAAATCAAAACTAAGTCCACAATAGTCTTGAAGCCATTGTTACAAGTAATTCTAACTATTTCAGTAATTCATTGTCTACAGATTTGTACGACAGATTGAGTTTACATGATTTTTACCTTTATTATCGATTAATGATTACGAAATCTTCTTAAAAAGATTTTTTTACAATGTCTTTCCTTGCTCTCATTTACTATTATACAAAAAACAATGTATTCCTCTTGTAATAAAGAAATCATTTTTAAATATTCATAAAACATGGCTACACTAACCGAATATAAGGACGATCCAATCGTAATTCAATACAATGTTGCAGCTTACTATTTTTAAAAATTAGTTAGCTTTTTTCCGATCTATAGCATAAAATAACTATTACTCACACAAATGTTATTACATTTTGTAAAATAATTTTTATCCGTGAAATTTTTTTTTTGTGCCAGACGAATTAATTAATGAACAGGTAAATAAAAAAATGTAAAAACAATTATTTAATTGAATATATCTTAAGTGTCATGTAAACTCCGTCTGCTTGTTATCGACACCACATCGAAACTACGTAAACAAATAAGTAGTTTCGACTATCGCACCCTTTGAGTCCCTTTTGTAGTCTGAATAGAACATCAAACTAATTTGCGATGCTACCTTAATACCATTACACACAAACCGCTTAACAACCCTAGTACATATATACAAATCTATTATCTGTATACGCTCTCGAGTCTCGACTTATGACAGATTAACATTTCAAAATAAGCCCATAGACAAAAATATAACTAAGTTTTCATCTAAATTATATAGTCTATAATAAGCTATTAATCGTTTTTTACCTGAACACAAAATATTATATCGATAAATTAAAACTACAACAATCTATACAATTCCGTGAAGTTCTTTTTTCATGTAATAAAATAAGATAAACGGATGAGCGAAGGCCGCCAAATCACGGGCCTTTATCCGACAACCAATTGTCTGAATTCCACTCAGTCGACCGAACATGAAATGATTGACGAGACACGTGTAAAAGAAAACAAAAATTAGTTTCTGTATTGGATAGAAATTACATAAAATCTATATACGAGAGTTCAAAGCCTATCAAAATTACAATTTTATTCGGTAGTGAGCTATTTATTATTTATCTACGCTTGCTAGATATCTTACAACGTGTTGCGTTGTGCTTGGATCAATAAAACAAAATACTTTTAAATTTCAGTGTATTTAGAAATTAAATTTACGAAATATTGAATCAGTTGTTTTGCAACGAGATTGTACATAATACAAAGATATAATATTACTAATTTGATCACTATTTCATCGCTCGCAGAACCGATGCCCGACCACGAGCCGGAAGACGCAGTGTGGGTAGGCCCCCAACAAGGTGGTCCGACGACCTGGTGAAGGTCGCGGGAATCCGCTGGATGCGGGTGGCACAAGACCGGTCGTCGTGGAGATCCTTGGGGGAGGCCTATGTCCTGCAGTGGAAGTCTTTTGGCTGATGATGATGATGATCACTAGTGGTTTACACATTCTCTAACGAGGGAATTTTAATATATGTTTATGTAGGTATAGAACAGAATTTACAAAAAGGTTTATACTGAATCATTTTCTATTGCGCCATTGTCGAGATTTTATAATCAAACTCTAACGCGGAAAACCATCTAAATCATACTGTTGCATTTCTTAAAAATATCTTCTTACTAACAATGTCTCTGGTGTCTTTTAAACATCAAGTACTTAGTGCAGAAAAAAGTCGGCTACGTATTTAAAACATGGTCAGTTATGATAATTTACTGTCAGGAGGTTCCTTTATTACATGACTTCGGAATAATAAAAATATTTTTTCTTCATTATTTGAAAACTCGTCTTTAAATTGAAATTTTAACTTAAGTTATTTCCATGCATTAATAAAAAATATATATATTTCTTTGAATATATAAAATTTCGATACTGTAAAATAACTATTTGTTAACAATGTCAGAAGAGAGTTTAAATATTCAAATATATGAAATTCTTTATTAAGATACTCAAATCATTAATGAAACGCTATAAATGAATCGTAATTTCAATCGAAACATGGGATATTATTAATATTTACATTCTGCGTAAAACTATGAAATGTTTCTTTCTCAGTGACATAAATAATTTGGAACGCCAGAATAAAATACATACTACAGAATAGAGATGTGACACTATGCTATTTCTGAAATCTTTCCTACCATGTTTTTAAATACTTCGTCGAATAATAGAACAAAAATAACGTTTGATATATTTTATAATATTATTGTAATTAATGCACAAAAAACTAAAAGTGGTCATTATGATCAAGCCCTAATGATGACGAAGGAAAGTTAACTAAAATAATAATTGAATTCTAACAATGATCAAGAATTTATTTCACGTCTTCTAATTATTTATCATAAAAACATTGGTACCTATTGATATTTTAAAAATATCTAGGTGTTTTTTTATGTTTCAAGAGTATAAATTGTCAGAGTGAGCCTGTCAATGTCAAGGAGGTTTTGATTGCTAGCGACGTTAGTAAGCGTTCCTGTTTTAAAGTAACAAATATTTGGTATATTATGAAATAATTTTATATCCAAATATGAATCAAACAATTAACGTCGAGCAGCTAAACTCAGCATTGACTTCTCTTAGAACTCTTCGCTCAAGTGTGAGCCATGTGTTTGAAACTCTATCGAATGGGCTAAGAGCGGACCACGGTGAGGATGGCAAAGATAAATTTCTTTTAGAATTGCAAGAACTCTTAAACAATGTAAACATAAATCTTCGTGACTTAGAACAAACTGTTACTGGACTACCCATACCTACAGCGCCATTTAATTTGGGTAACACGACATTTTTAAGCCAAGAAACAACACAAGATAGACAGGCTTTGTATACCCAACTGGTCAATAGTTACAAATGGACCGATAAAATACACGAATACAGTTCATTTGCACACACATTGCTCAGCCAGAATTCTCTAAAAAGATCGTATATAAATTCCGGGAGCACGAAGAGACGTGGAAAATTACAAAGCAACCACAATGTAGCGCCGTTACAAGTCGACAATGTAATTAATAATATAGACCGTTCATACAATGACATGAAGATCACAATTTCACGGCCTTTCGCAAGTAATGCAGTGGTTCAAATCAATCTCAGTCATGTTTTAAAAGCTGTGGTTGCATTTAAGGGTCTGCTGATGGAATGGGTTATGGTCAAAGGTTACGGCGAGACTCTAGACTTGTGGACAGAGTCTAGGCACCATGTATTTAGAAAAGTAACTGAAAATGCACATGCCGCGATGCTACATTTCTATTCTCCGACCTTACCAGAGCTAGCTGTCCGTTCTTTCATGACTTGGTTACACAGTTACGTAAACCTGTTCAGTGAGCCGTGTAAACGTTGTGGGTGTCATCTCCATCATACATCCATGCTGCCGCCCGCCTGGCGTGATTTCCGCACCCTCGAACCATTTCACGATGAATGCAAACAATAGTTAATGTGGTATTGAATGAGAATGCGGTTAACTGGTTCTGTATGAGTGCAACTGCATTTTCATTCAATATATAAAAGATGTGATGAGTGATATAAGTGAAAATGACAATTATAAAAAGTAAATAAATGTATCTTTGATACTGTGTTAATAAGGTCTGATAATCATAAATTTAACCAGAAATATTATGGACCTATATTATTATTGCTGAATAAAGGGTAAAAATTTTCACTGTAAATGTCTAGCAAAATTTTAAGATATTAAGCCTATCTGTAAATCATTCATATTTTAAGTATGAGAAATAATATTTTATTGTAAAATAATCACTTACATCTGTTAACATTTTATTTGTATAATCTCTTAATCTAAATAATATGTAAATAAAAATGTTTGTCAACTGTAATATTTCCATATGGCATAATTAACATAATAGTCTAAAAATATTGAAAGTTAAATTTCATTAAATTAGTAATTATACAAATAAATAAAACAAACTAGTTGTTGGTATTAAGGACTGAATAATAAATGGAAAAACTTTCAATTTAATTATTTATTTGTAACAACCATAGATCATATGTAATATAATCATGTTAATATAACATCTATGTAAATGGTTTGCATATAGCTACAGTGTGGTCTACACTACAGTTGACCGACAATACATGAGCTCCGATGCCAATTTTTAATGGAAAATGTTGATCATTCGAATGGCCGAGTCCTAGACAACCATATCTATTTCTGCCCCATACATAAAGATCCCCACTGTTAGTTATCGCTGCTAAAGTGACCGATGCCACAAGCAACTTTAGTGACCATACATTCAGGATTGAATTCATTCCGGCCAAACAAAGGAGCTGGTATTTGTGTAGGTTTACTTGTGTGTTGTACATTTGGGCCTAGACCCAGCAATCCAAAGCCCCATACAAATACATCACCTTGATCTGAAATAATGAATAACATTAAATAATTTGACATTTTGAATGACAAATAATTTTAATCTTCCTTATATTTAATATTTAGTATTGATTAGTCTAAAATTGTGTACTGTGTATCTTTTGTTGGGTATCCTCAAATAAATCACTTAGTTGAAAATTAAATAACAAAAGAAATGCAAATATCAAAAAAAGAACATTTAAATAAATGGGAAATCTCTAGTAATATTATTTTAAAGTATATCCTATAAATTCTTACCGTTACAGATCAAACAAAATGACCCACCGGCCGCAATATCAACAATTTTCCCTAAACCTTTTGTAAAACTTAGCAAGGCATATGACATGTTGACTTGTTGCTGTTTTGAATTCATCGGTACCTGACCATATTCTGAATTACCCCAACCAAATAGTTCACCTCTATCTGTAAAACAGAAACATGATAAATATTATATCTGACAAAACTCATTTTGTCGATCAAGTGCAGAGTGTTTTTGAGTAAATAATTTTAAATCATTCTGTATTCTCAAGCTTTAATATAAGTTAACATTGAAACACTAAATAGTGTTTTCAGTCTTTCATGAATAAACCTTTGTTGATAATATCATGTGCAGGAATTTATGATTTTAAAGTTGTAACACTGTATTTACTTGGTATTGTGTATGTATTAATTATACTTGGTCAATATTGTTAATTATGATGTCAAATATAATGTAGATAGATCAATTTATTATATTAGGTCTTTTTACTCAGCACAATACATAATATTAAAAATGGAACATAGTTTTTGGTGTATAAATGTTTTATGATACAAGCTTGTTTGAAAAGTCTCAATGTCTTCAGTTAAAATGTTGCAAGAGTAAAAAAGTATTAAAAAATTACCACTCAATGCAAGCACACAATCAGCGGTTGATGCAACTTTAACTATATTTTCACTAGTAATGTCTCCTTTTACTCGAGCTGGAAATCCTTGATTTTCATATATCCCAAGACCAGTCTGTCCATCTGCTCCCCACCCACAAGCATATACTTTCCCTGATTCAGTGATAAAAAGGCTAGAAGAATTTATTTACAATTTAAGAAATATACTTTATAGAAAACTTTTTTCTGTAATAAGATTGTAATCATTCCAAAGGAAAAAATATGTACCTGTGATCTTGTCCACAACACACACTCTTGATATTTTCCTTCCCAAGGCGTTTAATATTATGTGAGACCATACTTCCTTTGTATTCTTCTTGAGGATTTATTTTCCTACCACACTGCCCGTAAGCATTATTCCCTAATGTAAACACACCTTCATTATCTGTTAATATGAGTGTATGTGCTCTCCCTGCTGCAAGACCAGTTATCTAAAATATACAATGATTTTGAAGAAAAATATTGCCATCCTTATTTTTATTCAATAACGTTGTATTGTAATACATTTAGTTAATTAGTACCTTAGTTTCTAAAGAAGCATATGGAATAAAAATAGGAGCAGGACTGACAAGCATTTCAAGAGGATGACCCATTCTGGGTGCATGGTAACCAATCTGAGAGTCTGTATTAATGCCTGTACCAAAAACCTTATGCTGTTCTTTAGTTTTGACTGCAGCTACAGTAAAACCATAGCCGCAGGCTATATTTGTTACCTATAAGGGTTGAAGTACTGATATTATTTTATTTCATATTCAAATAACACGAAAATATTTGATTAAACTTACATCGAACCTTTCACAAAAACTGGATCTTATAGGGTGCCAGGCATAACTAAAATTATTCCTATAAGCTTTTTTGCCTTTTTTCTTTCCTCTGGGCATGTGTATTCCAAGAGCTCCAGTTTCCGCTAAGCCCCATACATATACTCTTCGATCTGAGCTCTTGCTGATAGGATATTGAAATACTAAAAAAAGCTTAGGTTATGTATTTGTTTTGGTGATTAATTATTTCTTAAAAAGGAAAAACAAACATAATATATAAATAAATAATAGAAGTACTATATGATACTTACTCGGTAAACGATCTTCTTCACTGGGATCGTGTATTTTCTTTTTAGTTGTAGCTGTGCGATTAAAAATCAATGGATAACTTCTCCGCTGTACAAGTAATTTTATAGCGTTCATTTTTGATTATATGCTTTAAAACGATTTTTTAAAATAAATACAATAAATAACGTTTCTAACAAAATAAATTTATTAACTTTTCGGTACTCAATTACATTGATTTGAATTTTGAATCACAAATTGGACCAACTTGTTCTGACAGATGACACTTTCCACAGAAGACAGAACTAATCTTTATGCTTGTTAGAGAAAATAAAAAAGTCACAACAATGAACCTTTCTTTCACGCTTATATTAATAAGTAAAATTAACTTTCAAGATCAATTTATTCCTAGAAATGTTTATTTGATAGTGTATTAGGAAATCTAACCACACTTAATTTAGCAAAATTTGAGAATAATAATTACTCTCTTCATAAATGAAATTTTAATAGACTCCGTATCAAATTTTGGATATAAAAAAAATAACTTCTTAATTGGCTTACTACGAGAAAATTGAATCAATTTATAATATTTCTATATATTTTGCAAAAAAAAAATTATAATTAACATAAATTTTAAGAAGAAATTCTAATTCTTTTTCACTTTAAATTGTGTTTTCAACATTTGACGTTGCTATCAGTACAAATGGTGAATTGAGGAAGATATGGGGCGAGGTAAAAGCACTACAAACCAGTTAAAACCTATAAAAGAAAGTGGCATTCAAAAATTTGACATCACACCTACACAATCCGTGTGCACTCACACAAATGCAAAGATCAGCTTAAATCAAACGTTATACTGTATCTGTAAAATTATATAAATTGAAGTTTAAATAAAACCACCGTCACAACTAAACACACATTATATTAATGTCTACATACATAGAACTATTTAATTTTTGCCAACAAATTGGCACGAAACTGCGTATTCTGGAACAGAGCCTTAATGAGGTTCCGCAGCTCCTCTCTCTTGAAGTGAACCGCTAGCAGGCCGTAACCATCGTTCCAGTGATTTTCAATATCCTTCAACGACCCTCCCAGCACGAAAATCAACTCTTGCAACTTAATCCAAGATTTCACGTGTTGCTCCACATCGGATTGAGACTGATGAAAAATATGCAATATTAAAATACCAATAATAACATCAAAATATATTAATATGTGGTTATGAACAGAAGTTAACCTGGAACAGTGTGGGTGATTTCTGTACGACGAGTGTGTACATGTCTGTGAGCTGAGTGGCCATCTCCATAGAGATGTCTTCTACGGAGCACACGCGGTGGATGAGCTCCTCTACGAACATGTTCACTAGCGTACCCATTAACCTTAATAAATATACATTATTAATATTTTAAGTCATACCTATATAGTTAATTATTTAGCTGACAGAAAATCTCGTTCGTGCCAACCATGGCAACATTCTCCAACATCCACTGTATTAGTATTTAATTAATAAAGGATCCAAATATATTTTATTGTGATAAATGTTTTTGGAACCATTGATTTACTTGCTAGTGTCAGTGTGATCAACTGGTGTCGTTATTTAATGCTTTATTTTTACAACAACAGTATTTTTAATTTTTCTGACATTATAAAAAAGTCACGTTGAAATAATCTAAAATTTTTATTCAGTTATTTCGTTTTCTTCGTGTAAATGGTCAGGTACTACAGTCATAAGACCAACATCTATTAGGAGTAACTGTTCGTGTATACCTTGTAAAGACATTAGGCGGGAACACTCCTATCCATACATTTTTGAGTAGCTGCAACTGTCTTAGACATTGACGGACGGCAGCCTCCGCGTTCTCACTCAGAACATCCTTCACTACTATGCAGTTCAGATCTGTGACAAACAAACTAACTTATAAACTTGCGTTTTGGACCAAAGTTAAATGATTTCAAAAGTCATACTTTAGATCAGAAATTCAAGCAAAGAAATTTATTGCATAACATTTTTGTGTGGTCTTAATAAGCCTTGAAAGGAGATCATGTCGAAGTATATTAATGATTATGAGGCCACATCATAGTCAATATAAATCTGAGTTACTTCTCTAGCACTTAATGATGAGGACCCGGGATGGCAGACACGGGGAGTCTGCCATCCCGCTACAACAAGGTCCTCGAGTCGGATGACGTGTCGTACCATCCTGGCACGTCTCTGGATGACTCTGCGAACCCATACTACTTTGGGTTCGTGACCGGTAAGCCATACCTGGAGGCCGCGGGCTGGGCGAAAGCGTTACCGCGGTCTCTTTCCACCTTTTGTGGCGAGGAGTAATTCCGCTGGTTTTTTAGTGGGTAAACTGGGTGCTTAAACCTAGGAGTCCCACATAACCACATCTGCCTACCCCGGGTAGAGTGGTATGCGTAAAGCATTTTTCCAGCGACAACAAAAAAAAAAAAAAAAAAAGCACTTAATGATATCCAAGACTCATGAGAACACATTCAAATGAAACAGTTTATCTTATTTTCGGAAACATTATTATAGGTTTCAAAAACGTCTTGTTTAATATAGAATAATAATGTGTGAAGTTAATTTCAAAAACATTCAATAGTCTTCTCACCCGAAGATCGTATGTTATCAAGAATCTGTTTCCTTTGTTGCTGCATGTGAGCGGCGAGATGTCTATGTCCGAGGTTTCGTACTCGTTTGCACCAGGTCTATGAAGCCCACAGCATACGGCGGCTCGCGGTCCAATAACGACAACCACTTATCTCCCAGCGTCTGAAGATTGTGTGCCAGGAACATACAGTTGTTGTGGAACAGAGCTGGAAGTGGAAGTCTTTATCTATATTCTGTTGAATCATTAAAACACTTAATTTCTTAGCTTCTTTTGTTTTCGTAGCTTTAATATGCAATATGGTGTTAGGATGTCGATAATGGGTTTTTTTGGTATTTTATTGCCAACTAAAATGTTTCAATCCTATTTATTCTTCATTCTCATTTTAAAGACTAAGGTTTTGAAATGGTTCTACAAGTCGTTAGAAAATGTGTGACCACCTTTTTAAAAAAATTTCAGTGTATTATTCGAAATTTTCGCTTCAATACTCTTAAGAACTTAATCTAACTGTCATTCTTTTAGTTATAATTTCAATTTACACACTCTGAAATCTATTCTTTCATATTAAAAACCAACAAAAACTTTTCATTTTTAATGGAGTAAATATTATAGATAAATAAACCACTTACCAACATATTGGGGTATTGTCTGCAAGTAGTTTTCATGATGGTAGGGTACAACCGCGTCATATAACTCAAATATCAACCTGGCCGTGTAATACAGTTTCTTGCACACCACGTCTGAACACTGCACCGCCTGCTCCATCACCATGTACACTAAATCTAATAATTCTTGAGCTGTCTTCGATATCATACATCTTGGGAAGTAAAATAAACTCTTCGGTACTGTTTTATCAAATATTTCTAAAGCTTCGACTACGTGGGGGTCGTCCTCGAAAATATCGAAGGATACTGGCTCATCGGGAATCTTCTCAACGCCTATAGACATCGTGACGCTCAAATCTTTCATCATGATAGTCCTTGCGGTTGCCAGAAAATGTTGGCTCGACCGGTCAGCGAATAAAACGTCAATTCTATCCATATAACTGAGCAGAGAGAGGCCTTCTTGTGGAAATATTTTGAGTAGCGTCAAGAAATTTTGGAAATCAGCTATATCGTTCGTAACTAGGGTGTAACGCTGAAGATCATTTATATTATTCGGTATAGTGTCAATGAAGCAGTCTTTGATCAACATCTGGCATAGTTCGGACGCAATCAGATTTCCCAACATTCGCATTATGCTCTTATCGGGCTTGAAGTCGACGTTAAATTTGTTATTTAAGAAATGGAAGAGCAACCTCAGATTGCCGATGACGTCACCATATGTCGGCGTATAGTTTTGTTTGTAATTAATAGTGATGGTCGCTAATTCGTCCGATTCAACGTACACCAAACAATCGTGTTGAAGTATTGGTACAAACACTTCTTTCTTCAGGAAGTCAGCAAATTCGCTGATCTTTTCGGAGAGTTTTTCGCATTTGTCTAAAGCGTTCAGAACGTCTATTGATACGAGGGAGTCGTCTATAGTTATGTTGAGTGTAATGACTGTCTTCGAAGTATCCGGTTGAGTGGTGTAAGATATCATACGGAACCATGCTTGATACAGGTCATTCAAAAGACTATCCAGTATTAACCTGGCTGTGTTCTTGGTGTTCGCGTACAGATCCAACTGCTCGAACCCCTCAGCGGGAGTCTCTATAAACTTCAACATATCATAAACAGATTCCACCGCTTTAGAGAAACTTTGAGCTTCTCTGCCTTCGTCGAAATTCTTCACATACTTGCCACATTTGACTATATCGGACACTATATTCCACGCAAAGTTTATGGACTCCAACTGTTTCGCTATTTGGTCGTGATTTTCTATAGATTTGAGTATTTCTGCCATGGTCTCTTGTTCAATTTCTTTCTTACAGTTTTCCATTTCTTCAATAAGTTCCTTGCTCTCAGCGCATAATTCGGTGCTCTCATTGTATATAGCATTTATATCGAAATCACAATTTTCTAGAAACAGTCTCAGGTCGGCCTTCTGTTGTTCAAGTTCTTTAGCAATCAATGGTATCTTCTCTTGAGGACTCCATGTACTGTCTTTGGCGTCGACAATTTTTCTTATAACACTTTCCACATCATAATCCGCCATTTTAGTGTTTTCTTTTAGTCCGATCTTTCTTGATGGATGGTTCTGGTTTAGTTTCGTGTTTTTGTGAATTATTAGAAATATGAGCGCGTGAATTTCGATGCCTGTTCGAATTCACAGCATGCCTAAGGGTATTGACTAGAAACCGTTTATTTGTTTTCTGTTGGGGGCCTTTTATCCAACCCGAGGGACCCACAATTTCAGCTCTTGCAGCTCCTTGAACTGCCTCACGGAGAAGTTCTTCAACAGCTAATCTGTAATATTACACAAGCCATGTAAATAAAAATAATGAGGTATGGTATTATATAAAATGCTATGTATGAACTTTATTTTCTATTGCAACGTTGGATTCTTTAAAGTTTTATATTTTCAGATTCAATTGAGTTGTAATTGCAGACTTTCTTGACCAAACATGCTCAAAATTTTATAACTATTGATAGCAGACAAAATTCAGTAAAAACAGACACATTTTTACTGTCTTCCCAAAGAGTTGATCACTGTAAAAGTTTTCTAAACTAATGCTATGCAAAATAAACAAGTCAAATATATAGTTATATTTTAACCTTTTACTAATAACAAAATTTTGCTTGCTTTCTTAGTTAAATTATTTGATAAAAATTAAAATTAGGTTTCCTTTGTAAGTTTCTAATTTTTATTTTAAAAATTTGATCTAAAATTTTTGCAAGTATTTCTTTAAATCAAAGTTAGATTATTCAATTTACTATGCATACTTTATTTTAAAAAAATACACACTCCTATGTATGTTTATTAGTTGATCAACTGACAGACATTAACATTTCATCTGATCATGATTGCTCAAAAGTAACCAAAGTCATGAGTATATAGTTTTTATAAATAAAACTAGTTTTTTCCCGCGACTTCATCCACATTAATTTCGTCATTAGTAATATATGTATAGCCGACTGGGCAAACTCTAACCCATCTTAAATAACCAGGTATTGGTATTTATGACATTTTTCCTGTTTCAATCGAACAGAATGATTGACATATTAGTTAGATGCCAAATCTATTGTTGAAAAAATGTTTTCCCACAAATGAATCAATTTTGTTCAGCTTTTAACCCTGAACCTCCATGAACATTTCAAGACTAAAATAACATCAATCCAGTTCAGCTGTTCTTGAGTTTTAGTGAGACTAACGAACGGCAATTCATTTTTATATATATAAATAGATATGCATAGTAATCCAAAGAATATTAGTTTCATTTTAATTTAAAATAATAACCATAATGATGGAGAAAGTAATATGTATAACTAAAATATATCTTATAGTTTAAGTAAATTAAACTCTGGTTTCCAAAATATTTATAATTATTACAAAGTAAATTCCAAAATTATATTGTTAAAAAAATCCTATTATAAACCATTTACAATACTGGTTTCCATTTATAGTGTGATTAAAAGATATTACAGTAATAAGAGTAGTAATATTGGCTTTAATACATAAATCATCTGTTTTATTATACGAGAGAAAGTTCGCGCTTAGCTGTTTTATTGGCAATAGTTAATGCCATTTTAATAGTAATAATTAAAGAATATCAATGCAAAGGGCATAGTTCATCCTGTAAACATAAAAATATTACATACTTCTCTAGAGCTTCGTCATCTAGCGGTTTTTTATCTGGTTCTTTGCTTTCAACTTCCTTATCAGTCATAGTTTAACTTAGAATATGTTCTCAACTCACTGCCTCTGTCCGTAAAGAGTTTATTATTATTGTAGCAAATCCATTTTCAGGCCGATTTTTTTTAACAAAAACACAAGTTCAATAAATTCGATAATTGCTTGACAAATTGAAAAGTGACAACAGACAAAAGTCAATTGTTTTTAATGCGTTCAAATGGCAGTAGACTGATTAAAAAGAAGTTTCATATATATTAAATCATCACATATATTAAATAGTTCTCTTTTATTTAGTACAATGATATTATCTTTATTAATACATAAAAATTAATGGAAAAAAGCTATTTCCATTTTTTTCTCCTAAAGTTTGTTTAGTTTAGTTTCGTAGAAGTCTTGAATTTGAATGTCTCTGTAACTGTCACAGTACATTACCCTGGCAAGATTTTGAACGCGTGGAGTGAACCGTCAGCCACGTACTTGAAGTTTGGATCGCGAAACGTAACATTTCACTTCTGTTGTGCTGTTGGTGCTCTTAATATAATAAACCTTCATTTTATTCTTCTCATAAGGTAATAGCAAGAAAGTACTTTTTAAATAAATTTATATAATTGCTTTTCATTATTGCTAACTATAACTATAAATCTGTATATTTTCATTCATAGTTTTAGTATCGGAAATATCTGCTAAAGGGTCTTTAATCTTACATTACAGATAAAATGATTGCTAAATTACTGTCGGTGTTTCTGCTCCTGGCTGCGGCTTTCGCTGCTGAGGAAGAGCCAGCGGTCGCGAGATTATTAGTATCTAAACAAGTGTTAAACAAATATTTAGTTGAAAACATGGACATTTTAATCAAGTACACATTATTCAACGTTGGAACGGCGCCAGCTGTGGATGTTAAGCTTGTAGATAATGGATTCCACCCCGAAGTTTTCGCAGTCGTCGGAGGCCAGCTCTCAGCTCACATAGACAGGATACCACCCCAAACTAATGTCTCCCACGTCGTTACTGTCCGATCCAACAGATACGGCTACTTCAACTTCACAGCGGCTGAAGTAACATACAAACCCAGTGAAGATTCTGCTGAGGTAACTATACATATCACATACTTTATTGACAAATTTACTTTCACCTTTCATTCATAAGGAGAATATTTTTTGACTACATTATTAGTAGTTCTATAGATTTCAAATTACATATTTTAATGTCACTTACACTTTTTATATTAAATTTTTAGACTAGGTTTTGTCCATGTTATAATGTCTTTTTGCCCTTGATTCTACTTTTCCATTACAATATTTACATTTCACTTCTCTTTTAAACTGAATTCAATATATATTAACATACCTCGGTTTCTGTTGGTCCTCTAATAAGATTTATATTATTGATCTCAAAGAAAAACAAGTTACAATTATTATTTTCCACTGATACATAGATGCTTAGATTACATATATATTTATTTTCTTACATATATTGTAAAGCTTATTTGTCCCCTGTGTTATTGGAAAACTATGTTATAGCTTGTAAAACTTTGTAATTAACAGTTGTTCTAGATACTTATTGGTGTAAAAGGTTTTTTTCATTCATTTGAAAAGTTTTTTAACTGTAAATTAGTAGTTGTGCTGCAATTTATAAATGACTTGTGTATACTTTTCCTAATTTTTTAGAATTTTTATTAATGTTTTGCCATAACTCTAATCTGCCATACACTTTTGTCATAACATTAAAAATACTTCATACACTGCATGCACTTATAACCATTAAAGGCCTTGTATGATTAATGAGTTTCTATAATGATTTTAATATTTAATTTCAGGTTCAATACTCAATCAGTAGTGCTCCCGGTGAAGGCACAATTGTAGCTTTCAAGGACTACGACCGCAAGTTTTCATCTCATATCCTAGATTGGGCGGCTTTTGCTGTAATGACTTTACCATCACTCGCAATCCCCTTCGGACTTTGGTATTCGTCTAAGAGCAAATATGAGAAACTTGCGAAACCTAAAAAGACTCACTAGATAGTTTAAGTTAGTTCACGTCATTGCTAATATTGATTAATATTAAATACATAATATATATATTTAATTATGTATATGTATGAAAATAAAATCGAATTCATTTATACCTTTATACTATGATGTTTTAAAATTAAACAATATTAGCAATGATATATATAGTTTTATGTTCATCCATCATTAATTTGTTAATAATTTATATGAACAATAAAAAATATTTCTAATTTATTATGTTTTGTACCTTATTATAGGGATCTGTACCTACTGAAATGTGTTAAATGGAAAAGACTTTTACTAATTTCTCCTACATAGGTTTCTTTATTAAGTAATAGTAGTAATATTATAAGTTGTATGATATTTTATGGCCATCACACTCACAGTCTTGTGTCATGGCTAAACTTAATTCAACTTGCTATGGGTGTGTAAGACTTAATAGTCACTTGCATTATAGCATGTCTTACTTTCAGAAAAAATTCTTTTTCTCAGTAAATCTCTCATTGACTAAAAGACACAAATAAACAATGAAGCCATTAATTAATTAATTTAAATTCCCAAAACATCTGTTGAGAGGTTTCATTGGTGGATATTCTTGAAAGAAACAGTATAGAGTACAACTCATTTCCAATAACACTGTGTTCATTTATTTGTACCCACTCATATTCTTTCAACAAAGATTAAACGTTGCTATTTTGTAAAATAAGGTTTCGAAGTTAATAGTTAGTAAGGTTTGTAAATGTAACGTCGTTGTTAATTTAACGTTTTCCAAAAAGATAAAGAAGATGCTTTATTCCTCAAAAAAAAAATCTCTACGAATAGCAATGAGAAACCAAATTTCTACTAAATACTCGTGTTAAAAAGTGAACACGGTATGTACTCTAATTAAAAATCTCTGCAAACAATGAGTACTAGCATAAATGTTACACGACCAGTTGAGGCGTGCTATGAACGCCACTATATTGGCCTTTTCTTCTCTTCCCATGAATGATATCATCTCCACTTTATCGCGGTGAACGCGTAAACGATTCCCTACTCACTCACAATGGCGATGGAGGTAATCATTGGTTATTTTAGGGGGCAAATACTTAGCCATGATGAAAAGCATGCTTGCTGAGAGCGCTACATGACCTCCTCGAAAAATAGGCTCTCTTGGAGGGGGGAAGGGGTATGCAGCAATGCATTTTTGACAACGTAAAAAAATTTCATCTTTAGTTTTCTTATTCTTAAACTGGATGTAATGCAACAGATGATAGAAAACATTTGTCGTGAAGTAATAAGTTTTATTTTATTATAAATAAATAAATTCTTCCGAATCTTGATAATATTAAGTTAGTAAATCAAACCGTATTTTAGATAATTTGTAAACGGTATATTATGACATAATTTAATTTTCCCACTACAAAATCAATATAGCAAAAACGTTAAACTGAACTATGGCTCCGAATCACGTAAATACATGCTCACGATATAGAATTAATTGATTTAATTCAACCGCTCATTGTTACAAATACTTATATATAATAAAATTTAAAAATGATGCCAGCTATGCACCCCTCAAAGCATTGGAGCTTTACCCAAATAAAATAATTTAAGATCATATGTATTTTAATCTCATTTGACACGGTCTTTTGAATTACTGTCTATTAGTGGTGCGGAAAGTTGATATTCCTCGAACATTATCTTTATACTAGTTTTTGCCCGCGACTTCGTCCGCGTTAATTTCATCATTAGTAATATATGTATAGCTGACCAGGCGAACTCTATTCCGTCCTAGAGGCCATAAATAATCAGGTTTTTCCTGTTTTAATCGAACAGAATGATTGACATATTAGTTAGTTGTCAAATCTAATGTCAAAGAAAACATTTGTATGGGAAATAGAAAAGGGCTGTTTTTAGGGTTTTCCCGGAAATGAATAAATTTTTCTCACCTTTTAAACCTTCCCTGAACCTCCAAAAATATTTCAAGACTAAGATAAGCTAAATCCGTTCAGCCGTTCTCGAGTTTTAGCGAGACTAAGGAACAGCAATCCATTTTTATATATATAGAAGATAACATTCGCTGTCTTTTGACTCATCACAGTCATAATTATCATTTTAATTATCGATCACTTTAGCACCGAACTACAATAATATAATTTACTTATTTAGTGAAACGGGAGGACAATAATTATACACACTTTAGTTTAATCTGGCGTTTATTACTTTTCACACAATCCCGTAGGTACACTGTCAGAGATTCCTCTAGCACTTCGTCACGAGAGAGGTCCTTTTCTTCCAGCGTATCTTCTCTCAATCCCCCTGCAATTCCAAAATTAAACGATGTGACGCCACTGACGCTCTCGCTGATTGGTCAAACGCTATGATTGGCTAAGCTCTGTGATTGGCTAAGACAGTTTCGGCGGCATACTGTCATGGCAATACTTCCGCCTGGCTCAGGCGGTGGCTTGGCTGGGCTTGGCATGGCATGGCACTTATGGCATGGCGTTACAGTCGGCCATCCTACAATAATTGCTCCCGCAATGGTTATTAGCTTTCCAGAAGATCAATTAAGTCTTCCGTCTCCAATTGCTCATCGGAACTGCTGGCACTGTCAGATACAGGAGCTACGCTATGATAGGGTCGCAGACTATCGCCAGAGACTAGACCCGTAAAGTTTTTATAACCTCTTAGACCCTTAATGCTTCTAATCCTGTATCTGTCATTACCAATACACTTAATGATAATATAAGGTCCGGAATATAAGTCATCTAGTTTAGTATTAACCTTAGCAGCACTACTTGTAGGAGCTTTCTTCCATAAAACTAGGTCTCCTCTTTTGTAAATATGACAGGCTTTACGTCGTTTATCAAAGTTACGTTTTATCTTAATACTGGCCTTTTTAATACGTTTATTAGCTTTCTCACGCCTTGACTGAATAGATTCAGGTATACGACCTGGTATTGTTACATCACACACAGGCCTAGCACTACGCGCGAACACTAAGTCGTAAGGCTTAATACCCGTGGTATCATTTATGGTATTGTTTATACCCCAAATTATATCAGGCAAACAATTAGACCAGTTATTAGCAGCTTCACTAGGGTCGGTAGCGCGCAATGCATCGAGTATAGTCCTATTTGTTCGTTCGACTTGGCCGTTAGCACGCGGGCACGGTATTGCATTAAGTGTATGTTTGAATTGCTTTTCGGAAGCATACTTTTTGAAATACCGGCTTGTAAACGCCTTGCCGTGATCCGTTACTATCCTATCGGGATATCCAAATAATGAGAATATTCTTTTGAGCATTCTAATTGTTTCTATTGAATTAATAGTTCTAGTAGGTTCTGCTATAACGAATTTAGAAAACGCGTCGGTTACTACTAACATATACGCATAACCTTTCTTAGTCTTACAAAATGGGCCTAAATGATCAACATGTATCATTCTAAATGGTTCCGTTGGCTTAGGTATAGGATGAAGTAATCCTTCCTTCCTGCCATATATCCCCTTCCCATAAGCACAATGTAAACAAGAAGTGACATACTTTTTGATGAACCGCGACATTTTAGGAAACCAAAACTCACGTTTTATTAGATCAGTACAGCGCTTTAAACCCACATGACCAATATCATCATGGTGTATTTGGACAATTTTCCACTTCGCAAGTCCGGGAACTACTAACCGATTGCCATTTAGTGTCTTACGGTATAATCTATTATCTAACAACTCATAATTGTTGAGTATCTCGGGCTGAGCCGATCCGTTTTTCAACTGCTCCATGATATTTCTTAGTTTGTCATCCTGATATTGAATCGTATAAAACCAGTCAGCAATTTCGAGACGATTTATATTGACTGTGTCAATAGGATTCCTACTTAAAGCATCAACATGTTTCATGCGTTCGCCGGGTCTATATTCAACGCTAATGTCGTACTCTTGTATCGATAACCACCACCTAGCAATTCGCGGAATGATATCCCGTTTTGTAAGAGTGGCACGAACAGCCGTACAGTCCGTTACTACTTTCACATGTTTGCCTATGACGTACACGCGAAATTTACGCAATGATTCTACTACCGCCAATGTTTCAAGCTCATAGCTATGATAAATACTTTCTTCTTTAGAGGTTACTCGACTAAAATACATAACTGGGCGCAACGTATTATCTGATTGCAGCTGTAACAAAATACCTGCGACCCCTAACTTGCACGCATCGGTATGTATTTCTGTATGTAGTGTCGGATCATATAATGCTACCACAGGTTTAGAGCACAAACGCTTTTTTAACTCCTTAAAACTACCGTCCTGTTTATCGCTCCATACCCAAGGCACATTTTTTCTAGTTAGTTCTGTCAGAGGACGAGCTATAATTGCAAATTTGTTTATAAATTTTCGGAAGTAACTACAGAGGCCAATAAATTGGCGTACCTCGTGAACGCTTTTAGGCACAGGGAACTTTGAAACGGCATCTAATTTTGAATCTGAGTGTTGAACACCTTTTGAAGTAATTTCGTGTCCTAAGTAAGTGACCTTGTCTTGAAGAAATGAACATTTTTGCATATTTAGTTTTAAGTTTTCAGATTCGAACTTTCGCAATACTGATTCTAACATTTTTATGCCACTGTTTATATCAATAGAGGGAAGTAATAAATCGTCTAAGAATGCTAAAATCTCATTCGAGGAGCTGCCATCTGACGTATAACGGATGGAATCGACTATTTTGTTTACGAGACGCATAAAAACCGAGGGTGCATTCGCTAATCCAAAAGGAACACGTAAGTATTCGTAATGACCCTGAGGAGTAATAAAAGCTGTCTTATGGGTGTCTTCGGGAGCTAATAATAATTGATGGTAACTTTGTGCCATATCTAAAATTGTAAAATACTTTTTACCGGCTAATTTAGAAATCTGGTCTTCTATATTAGGGAGAGGATATCTATCTTTAACTGTGATATTATTGAGGGCACGATAGTCGACACATAAACGACTGTCGCCGTTCTTTTTCCTAACTAAAATAACTGGAGCAGCGTAACTCGATTCCGACTCTTTAATGATAGAGGCATCTAGTAGGTCACGAACTTTAGAATTGACAATTTGCTGCTCAGCATGCGATAACCTATAAGGTTGACGATATATTGGCTGTGGAGTCGTAAGTTTGATTTTCATTTCTAACAGTTTTGTGCAACCGAGATCTCTAGTATTTGCCGCAAAAGTGTGCTTAAATCGCAATAGTAATTGTATCAAACTACTATGTTCGACTTCATTTAACTTTCCTACACTAATTTCACTTATAGGTACTCCTCCTATGATTAAACTAGAAAGATCGTCTGTATTCAGTGAGCTTTTTATTTTCTGTATTCAGAGTCAGGTGAGCTTTTGGCTAAGTAGGGCGTATTTGGCATGATTTTAAGTAAATTTGTTAATGGTTTGGCTTGGCTTACTCGAGTTGGCTGGTTGGCTACTTCATGACAGCTCTCGGCACGCGCTAGAACCTGGCCCGCTTCCCAGTTGACGTCCCCTATACCACTGTTTACCACCTTCATGTAACCCTCTCCGCCTTGAAGCAACGTTGCCGGTAGAGAATATGAGACACCATGGAGTTCGTAGTGGCGTGGTGTGGTGCAAACTTCATTCCCATCTCCATTACCGACCACCCTAACCTTAATGATGGAGGCACCAGGCGGTAAAGACTCCTTGTTCAATGTAGTAACCATAAATTTATTCTTGTCTTCGACGACATCGAATTCTGGCGAGACATCTGTTTTCCGAGTCAATGTGGCTCTCCCATTAGTGACTACTAACGATACATGTTCTGCATTGATAACGGGTTGGCCAATCAGTAGGTGAATATCTTGCATGTCGGCCTCCGTCACATGTGCCGTGCATTGTATGTGAATATTATCAATTTCTAACTCAAATTCTACTACTCCACGACTAGTCAAAAAATCACCTGAAAAGCTTTTGAGTCGTGTACTTGTAGGTGTAACATCGAGCGACAAGAGACTCACCATCTGGACATTTATAACGTTAACTTGGCTTCCGGTGTCAATGTAAGACTTAATATAAATTCCATTCACCTTTGCTACCTTTTTGTAGATTTCGTTGTAGTTTTGCACCATTCTAACCTCTTTAATGTTGTCATTTGATTCCATAGAACGTCTGGAGTTGCTAGCCGAAGTGCCGGAGCAGCGAGTGGCGATGTGTCCTTGTTGACCACATTTAAAACAAATACGTTGATCCGGTAATGTACAGTTGCGCAACATGTGGCCGGTCTTCTTACAACGGGGGCAAGGATCAATTTCAGGATTGACTTTTTTATCCGAACTCGACGATTGTTTCGTGTCTTTGGTCATCATCCGAGGTTCAAATGTGGGAGAATGATAATCATCAAGAGCACAGAGGAACTCATCAGGACGTTGGCATTGAAACGCTCGGGCATTCGGTTGTAGGTATACGGGTAAGCCTCTGATGATACACGATACACTAGCACTATCAGATAAATGGCAACGGAAGCACATAGCAATTTTGTCTTGATAATATTTGGTCATCGTCTCGTTCGGTAGCTTCTTTCTTTGCATCATTTCGTTTAATAGTAGGCTAAAGTCGCGATGTTTTGGAAAGGCTCGTACCAGCATATGTTTCCATTCGGCCCAGGAGTAATCGTAGTTTTCAAGTCTGTTGTACCATTTGCGAGCTTGACCACGTAATTTATCCTGCAGGTAAAAAGCTTTGATTTTCTCGTCCCACCCATGTATGTCTCCTAATTGATCAATCTTCTTTAACCACGAAGTTACGGTGCAATCTTCACCATCGGGATCGAATTCGGGAATAAGGGATGCTGCACGATGACTCTTGACGTGGTTGAACGAAATAGTGTCGTCATTAAGGTTGTAAATTGCTTTTTCGACTTCATTTTCTAACAATGACTTCAATATTTTCCTTGCAGGTGGAAGTGAATTATTTTCTTCCTCGTCACTATCGTCTTGATTTTCGCTCCATCCTGGAGGGCGGACACTGCACCCAGCTTCGTTAGGACGACTGCGCTTCATATCCCACTTCTGAGTGAAACGGGAGGACAATAATTATACACACTTTAGTTTAATCTGGCGTTTATTACTTTTCACACAATCCCGTAGGTACACTGTCAGAGATTCCTCTAGCACTTCGTCACGAGAGAGGTCCTTTTCTTCCAGCGTATCTTCTCTCAATCCCCCTGCAATTCCAAAATTAAACGATGTGACGCCACTGACGCTCTCGCTGATTGGTCAAACGCTATGATTGGCTAAGCTCTGTGATTGGCTAAGACAGTTTCGGCGGCATACTGTCATGGCAATACTTCCGCCTGGCTCAGGCGGTGGCTTGGCTGGGCTTGGCATGGCATGGCACTTATGGCATGGCGTTACATTAGTTTAGAAACGTAAAACTATTGATTTTAATAACTTTCCCTGCCTTTGCCATTCTTTACAAAAATCTTAAATTTTCGTTATTAAAATAAACAGGTATAAATAGGAAGAGAGATGAATCTGCATACTAAGAAGCCTCTTAAAAGCACAAGAATAACGGTCAAGTGAGGAATAATACTGTTACATCTATCACCTTCCCGCTGTGAAAAAACCTTTAAAAACATGACTTGGTTGTAACCATATAAGCCAGCCTTGAACGCAGGCGAAAAGTAGCCAACCTCTCGCTTTTTTATAGGATACATTTTGGTCAGTTTTCGCAGGAATTCCCGCCACCCCCTTTTTATCATCAGACACCCAAGCACACAGTGAAACTTCATGATTTCATTTTATACCCTCCCAGCATCCACACACAGCGAGACGCGACCTTCTTCCTCATTCACACTCCAAAGGATCGGATCAGTTCGCTTGCGTCTGCGTTTTTTTCCAATTATAATTTGGGTTTCTTGTAGATTAGAGTGAATAGGCTGTCACTTAGATAGTGCTTTCACCACCTATAGCTTATTTCCACTACCATCGGATGGACAGTCAATCATTAACCAGTTGAAAATAATAAAAATCCCAAAGTATTGCATTTTTTTTTTGTTTTTAAGAATGGGAAAATATATTTTTTTTATATTTATTAAAATAAATATAAAAAATATATTTTTAAGTACGCATTTATTGTAGCGTTCTAGTACTTTTCATTTTTACAATCTCTATTACGCTCATTACATAATAACGGTAGCTGTTCGTTTTAGTGCGACCGTGGGATTATTAATGAGTCTTCATTGTGCAACGATTGTGATGAAATTCAAATCTAAATGATATGTATGTCCATTACTAATTTACTTAAGTTAACTTGATTTCCATAAAAAGGTGGTCACAAATTTATAGCCATCGTTCAAAAAACTTTTATTACACTGATTCTTGAAATACTTACAGGAGTTGATCATTTGTACTTGTATAGGTAATAATAGTAAAAGAATTCCTAACGCTTTCTGCTAATTATCATTAAATTTTATTAATATTTTGTAACTAAAAATATAACATCTTAATCAAAATGCACAAAGAAACAAAGTATTTATGAAAAACATGCAAATAATATTGACCGAAAGTATTGGATTTTCTTAAAAATCTGATCTATTAAATAATCTCTTACGTAATATAACTATAAAAAATACCATATACGGAAACCATTATCCAAAGACTGATATGAACGTAATAAATTGATTTTTATATTTTAACTGAAAAAACCTCTTAAATAATTTGTAAGTCCTTGAGAAAATTTTCATTAAATATTATACGGCGATGACTGCTTGCTCTCAAATGATTGATAATTTTTTAAATTAGCACTTCGAGAATATGGAGGACCTTAGTTTTTAGTAGAGGCAATAAAAATCTTTTATATGTATTTTTTTATATGTTGGAGAAGTTTTGCAGTAATATTTTAATGTTCTTAATTCACCTACATTAAAATTGCTTTTTTATTCACTACAAAATTTTGTATATTTCTCTGCAATCTTTAATAGGGTCACCTTTATGAGAAGCTAATTAAAATATACCATAAAAATGTTAATAAAATTTTAAACTTATGCTTATTTTATGGAATGACGTCATATTTATATAATTGATTCAAAAAGCTTTACGGATAAATTCTAATCGTCCATAATAAAATTATTAATGACGTCACTGATAGGACAGTTTATCGCTTGGCTCTGTTATTCAACGAATAAAAACCCACACAGTGAAACTAAATTGAATCAAACAACTAAACAATACATATTTTTGTAGGACTATTATTATAAATAGGTACTGATAAACTTGACACTAAACTACCAAGCTAAATGGGTCATTTCTATAGTATATTATGTTTTAATCCATTATCGATATATAGGTATATAGGGGAACCTGTTGTACCTAGGCCAGTTTTTAACATTTTCGTATTTTTAAATAAATGGTGAGAATAAGATCTATCAAATATGCATTTAATAGAAGTATCCATTATTCAACTATATAGTTCTTTAATAAAATCTGTGAATTTTTCATAAAGCTGACAACAAAAGCTGCTAGTAAAAAAAAGGGAAAACTGTCCAACGTACAACAGACCTGATGTACCTTGGACCGTACGAGTTGTACTTTGGACATACTAGGTTCAAATGAAAATAAACACCAGGAGTTGCTGTAGGAACTTTAACTTTTAATTATATCATGTTTGCGATAACGTAAACAGCAATAATTCAGTAAACTATTGTAATAATATTAACAGTCTTAATTTATTTTTGCTAAACTCATAGCTTCTGGTTTTCGAAATGAGATGTCATCTTTAAAACGTTTCCCGAATAAACGCAACAAATATTCTCCTGCCATTTTTTCAGAATCCCATCTAGAAGAGTATTTAATTTGATTGACCTTTGCGAACTGATATGCCAGTTTCTTTACTTCTTTTAAAGTCAAACAAAACTGAAGCGGGGCTGCGTCTTTAATATAATTAGCTAGCATTAGTTCTTGTTCGTCAGCAAATACTCTTTTAACTGCTAGATTTTTGCGTATTTCCGCTACCGATATACCTTCTTTCAGGGCATAGCTGTGATAGCGTCTTAAACATGTTCTCGGAATTTGAAAATGTTTGGAAGCACCATGAAATGTTAACTTCTTCTCCTTCAATAACCTGATTGCATTCTCAATTTTATCGGTGTCTAATGGAGCTCTTTTTTTGTTTTGCCTGCTTCGCGGCATTTTTCCTACACAATAAAAATTAAAAAAAGCATAATTAGTTCCGCTTCCTAAGTACAATCAATATGATGTACCTTGGCCAGTGTCCAAGGTACATCGTTAGTTGGGAGGCCAAGGTACAACATCGTGACAATTTCTATAAACCACTTTTATAAACACACTTAAAGTTGAGTTTAGTTTCGAACACCAATGCTATCTGTTACCTACATATACTGAGATTAAATTGAGAATAAAAGATTTCTTATATATGTTGATCACGTTAAATAAATGAGCAATAAGTAAAGTCCGAAAAACATACTTTTTGAGCGAGAAATAATAAATGACCTCTTTTATCTGCACTCACGCGGCGCCGGCGAATCACAACTAACTTCACTTTAGAGTTGACAAAAGATGCTTCGACTGCCATACACAATATTATTTTAAAGCTCGGGAGTTTTCGAAAAATTATGATTGTCCTAGGTACAACACTGTCCAACGTAACACAGGTTCCCCTACCTAAAAAATATCTGATATAATCTATATGTTTATTAGCATTATGTTAAATAATTCATTTTTCCTGAATTTTAATCTACTTTAATCTTGAGAAACTTGAAACTGGCCGGTGAGAAATAAAACAACTAAGCGGTTTATTTTAAAAAAAAAACTAAACGAAATCATGTGTCGATGTTGTTATCGGGCGAGATCGCGAATTAAATGATAAAACAAACAATGATAAGTCACGTGTATTTAAAATAGAAGTGTATTAACAATATTCCGACAAATGTAACAATCATTTTACATTATTAGGCAAGCTATACACATAAAAAACAATACATATTTGATTAAATAAAACGTAATTAAGCGTACAATACAGACAGCCATGTAATCACTAAATGTTATACTATTAAAAATGTTAATTACAAAAATATTATTTCAGGGAATGTTAATCTAATATTATTAATGATTTTATACTAAATTCAAGCTATTTTTAGATCCCATTGGAGCTAGTCGTATCTAGTGACGAACTACCAACTTGTACTTCTATGGTTTCAACATGACATTCTTTCACTCTTGGTATAACGTGAATATTAGTAAACGAGGATAGTATTAATAGAATTAATTTTAATCCCTAAGAGACTCTTCAATAATAAAAATGAATTGATTTTCGTTTCCAAAATAGGGTCTAGTAATTTATTATTCCATATGTTATGAATAATAATAAAGATATATTAAAAAAGAATTCATATAAGTTGAACATTTTGAACTAATAATACAGAATTTATAATACAAAACATATATAAAAGCTATAGCTGAATTACATAAAACGATCGTGTAAAAATTATTACGCTATTATAAAATGTTATCATCATATATAAAAAAAAAACAACTATAGTTAAGTAGAATTATTATTTTAGAGTGCACGTACTAAAAACTATATTTATTATGACAGAATAGTATAATTTATTTACATTGCCATAAAACTCTTTCCGTATAATAAAAACACACGTTTGATATCCGGAAGATACCTCGATCTCGTGATATGACTTCGTAGCGAATTAAAGCTAAGCATTAGGTTTAAATGTTGATAGGTTCTGGATTGTAGGAGAGGTTGACTACAGGCGAGGAGGCTCCGTAGTCTGGTGTGGAGGAGGCTGATGTGGGCGGAGTGTCTATAGGCTTAGTGAGAACTGGAGCCACATACTCGGGAAACCGCAAGGTCGTCTCCGACTGTAAGGGCGCTGGCGGCGTACAACTCGGGAAAGGACTCAATAGCAGGAACGTCCCAAACGCGACTACGGATGCCATTATCAAAATAATAGTCCGAGCCTCGAAACCAGCCCGCAGCCCTGCCCAGGCCGCCATGTTTAATCAACAAGAGCAACACCGATATTCTGATCAACCTGACGGCTGTAGCATGGATTCTACCGCCGCCGACCCCGCTCATGTCACACGGACCGTACGCGAAGTACAGGTTGTGTTTATCACCTATGTGCTTCAGGACGAAGTAGATGAGACCGAACGGTGCGATCAACGGACATGCTAGACTGTACACCATGGTTATAGAAAATATAGCGAGACTCCATGCGTAGTGGACTCCGAAAGGAAACTCGTATAAGATGGCCTTCTTTACGTAACTTTTTTCTGCTTTCGATTTAGATTGTAAGAGATACCAGACGTATAGGAATAATTCAGGAAATCGTATAAGTTCGAGCGCTGTTCCGATGAAGCCGGAGGTGATGACGTAGTTGACGAAGAAGGCGCCCTTGTCTGGTAAAAATACGCAATCCCAACGCAACGTGTCGTTTTCGTGGTGTAGAGTCCATGCAATGAAAGCTTCAGCACTGGCTAGTCCCAACGAGGGTAGAATTAAAGTCATTAATAATAAATACGACGCAGTTTTTGCCATAATAGAATAGTTTTGCTGAGATTTGGTCCAATGGGAAAGAAATTTATCAGAGAAAGCGACAATAGCAGGCATTACAGCCGCCATGGTCCACAGAAGTAGTGTGGGTAAGAATTCAAATATCAAACTACTTATTTTACTAAGAGTCTCTGGTTTAGCTACCAGGGTGTTGAAGAGATTGACAACGAAAGCTGGTGTTGTAAGGAAAAACAAAACAATGAATAGACAGAAGTTAACTACTATGGCCTTTACATACCAGACGCCCGGTTGGACACTCAAGTTCTCCCATATAATATCTGATGGGTTGGTGGCGTGTTGTAGAACCCAACCCCTATGCAAACTGAAGTGATTGATCACATGCTCAGCCAGTTGGTATGAAGGAAGAGTTAGGAAGGCTATACCGAGAGGATCATTGAGGACTAAAGCACGACATCTCTTAGCTTCATCTTTGAGACGTTTTTCTTCTTGAGTGTAGAATTCTAGAGCATCAACCTCCGGTCCACATAGCGTTGGTTTCACAGTAATTCTTTTTCCAGTTTTTCTGTAATATGTATCGGTATATATAAGAGCTTCTGTGACCATTTCTTTCTTCTCTTGTACTTCATTCAACTTGTTTATATTGAAAGCTAGTCGTAAGTCAACAATTTGTATGTGAGGGAAATTATGAGTGAAATATGCTCTGATTGTTGACTCATTTCTGTCGGCTCTGGATATATTTGTTATCATAATAGTTCCTGTCATGGAGTTTGGCACAGGTTTGCGGCCGGTGCATCTTCTCATAATTAACACTGACACAGGTAGGAACATGATGCTGATCAATGTGTGGACCCATAGCCAGTATGATCTTCCATTTAGATTTGACAGAGTAGTACGGCCAAATGTGCTTGCATCAACTTGTAAGTTAGTTCCTTGGAAATTTATTGGCAGTATAATCCCAATAGATACTATAGTAACAATGAACATGAGTGTTATAGCATGTCTTTGAAATGACAGGTAATGTACGGCATCTGGGCCACATTTAGCGAGCACTTGTTCACGCGTAAGACGAAACACGGCGGGCAACCACGTGAAAAAACCTTCATCTATGTTCATTGACTCATCTGTGCTCCGTCTCCTCTCTACCAATGTGTCATTATCACTGCCGCGGTAAAATAAATTAGTCCACCTGCTCTTTGACCGTTGGACGAGAGCCATCCGTCCATAGTTCCAGGCTGTTCGACGTAATACGGTGAACAATAGAATCAAACATACCCATGATATCAAATTTAGAATCAACGTTTGCGGAATACCGTTGTATGCACCAGTAATGATAACGCTCTGAGACGGATTTAGTAGCATACATCCTTCATCAGTCCCATTGGAAGTATTTGTAGGCACTGCATAAAGAATATTGTTCGCAGCGAATCGACTCATTTTGGATGTCGCAATAGCACTAATAAAGAGAAAGTATTCACATAATAAAATCACTCAATAAACATTACACCCGAACAAAAACTTCTATTGACTTTCGATAGATATAACAGATATTTATTGTTTCCAATCAGAAGTCACTTTTTTGATTAAATATATATTTTGTTGATGGCATTAATCAGATAAAATTTGACAAATGACAAGTATATACGACTATCTAATAAACAGTGTTGGTAGTACAATATTCGACAAACATACAATTAAAGTGTACACAAGTGTAAGGCATAGTGCCAACTTTTCTCAAAAATAACAATTATATTCTTGCTTTAATAAATTTAACATTGTATTTATTTATATGTTTAAAAAAAAAATTACATTTTTTCATCCATATTATAAGCAAAAATGTAAATGCAAAAGGCAATTATATGTTAAAATTGATTTGAGTATTTGTATAATTACATTTTTTGTTACAAAAAAAAAAATTCTTGAAAAACATGTCCCCTTATATTATTTTATTAAAAAAAGCTTAACCCATCAAATATAAAACCTGTAAGTTTCCCATGTTGAATAAGTCATTGTATTTTATTAACGATTTTTTTATACAGTTATAATAACACATTAATTATAGTTAATAAAAAAATATATAATGATGTAAATATTAAAAGGTGAGCTATATAAAAAAAATAAAAGAAAAAAATTAGGCTTTTAGAAAACTGATATGAAATTATCATTATAATACGTATTGGCATCTTATTTAAATGATCGTACTAAATAAGTTAAATTGTTTAGTTATGTATCATTCAGTTCTTATAATTCCAAGAGACAAAAACAATATTTTTATAATATTCTTTTCTAACTCTACATTTTTTACATATTATACAACGTGTAATACCGACAGACAGGTACGTCTTTAAATTTATTTGATGATGACAAGGAAAAGCTACATCTCATACAAAATACAAATAGAGTGAGAGAGATAAACAAACTATTCATGTATGGATATAGAAAAGAATGAGAAGAAACAGTTGGTTACTGGATGAATTTCAATTCCATTCAGTGAACTGAAATTCAAAGAGAGACATTAAGTAATAAGTTTTTAGATTATGCGTTAATGGATTTTTATTTATTTCAAATATTTATTATAGAAATAAGTTAATAGTATACTACTCAGAAAAAACATTATTATGGAATTTGAATGGAATAATTATTTAGAAGATACAAAAAGTATTGCTGTTCCCGAAGAATTATTTTATCACGTAAGTTGCGACATTCTTTTAATGTTTAATTTTTATTTTATAATATATATCCTATTAAAATGTTAGATTAGTTATTAATCAAAAATAATTTAAATTTGGCTTTTGTAACTTTCTTTTAATATTAAACTGTTATCAAATAAAGGCCATGTAATGGCTATTTTTAGATTGTAGACAAGTAATCAATTTTTTTACTCTTAATTACAACTTTTGTCTTTTTGTTTTACTTCATATATATTATTTAATAAATATCCCTTTTCCATATTGAACGAACTGCATAAAGTATGTCAGCTCATTGTCCTATCGAAATTACGTGCGTCATATCAAATTATTTAAATTCGATTCTTTAAAATTAAAGATCCTACTAAAAGTTTTGTAACTTTCTCTACATAATAATCATGATGTTCTATAGGAATACAAAAAAATATATTTAATTCTTGTATATTAACCAAAATCATTCAAAATTAACCATGATTAGACTAAATTTAAGTAAAGCTTAGTAAAAAGAATTGTGAATTATTTGTTATAATAATATATATTCAAATAATAATTAAATGAAAATAGATTTCATGATTAAATATTTTTTTATTAAATATATAAATGAATATTAGCTTAATTCAATAACTAGTCCAATTAACTGTTAAAGATATTCAAAAACCCAGATATACCAATAATTCAGTTTAATTTGTGTATTAAAATAAATAAATAATATAAATAAGATGGCTATAAAAAAATGTTCTCTGTTCGGGCACTTTCAATAATGATTTTAATTTTACTTTCTACAGTGACTGTATTTAATGTAAATATTTTTTTCTACAATTTTTCTTTTCTAATAACTTACCATACAAAATAGTACAGAATTATCTGATTATTAATTTAAGTCATTAAATTAAATTAACTAAATTGAAAGCGAGCATTTATACCATAACATATTTAATTTTAAAAAAGTTCTTAAATGTAATAATGTAATTATATCATAAACTAGCTTTTGTTCAAGTACAGTGCTTGATAGTGTTCCATTTCTTATTGATTTTTTTATTTATTTTAATAATAAACAGAATAAAGAAAAAAATCTTTTTGTTATTTTTTTATTTATGTGACAAGTATATTCTAGGTTGAAGCCAGCCTCAATAATGGTATTAAGCAGGGGATGTTACTTGAGGTGTGTCACAAGAACAATCCCGATGTGTACTGGCTCGCTGAGATCACAATGGTCTGCGGCCACTTGCTTAGGATAAAATTCATTGGTGCCCAAACAGACTTTTGGTGTGACATATCTAGTACTAAAGTACATCCTCTCGGCTGGTGTGGGAAATATGATGAACTTGTCGAACCTCCTGATGAAATAAACGAAAGATGCGGGGAAACTATCATAGATATAATGAAAAAAGCCCTCCTTGTTGGACAATCCGTGTCTCTTGAGGCATTGAATAACAAAGGAATGTCTCCTATTGATAGAATCAAAGTTGGGATGAAAGTGGAAATACAGAATATTATCGACCCATATAGATACTGGATTGCAACTGTAAGCTATTTTTTATAATTTTTTCATACAACACTATATTTAACAATAGTTTTCATAGCTTTAAGTCTGATAAAAAAAATAAATAGTAGAGATGGAAAAAGTTTTGTATGTTTGAATGACATGTTATAAATATAATTTCTTTGATAGTTAGTTATGTACTTAATTCAGAACATTTCTCTATGAAATATCTTTACAAAAATATATGTGCAGGTGTGTGAAAATATTGGAGGTCGACTCTTGTTGAAGTATGATGGAGCTGATGAAGATTTACCACAGTTTTGGATGTTCTTCTGTAATACAAGACTGAGTAGCTTTGGATTTGTCACCAACAAAGTCAGCCTACTTTTGTATTTAATAGCTAATAAATCTTGTATAAATTCTTAAATTTTTAACCATTCATTATTTCAGGGTTCTCCATGGCAATTCAAGTACCCGGGCAAAGTCAATAAATTCTCATGTAAGAACAAACTAAGCACACAACTGAGACAAAGCGCCGAGGAATCTATCAAAGAACCAACTCCAGCTGATCTGTTTCAGGTATATTTTTTTATAAATATACAATAAAAAACTTTTTGTTCATAGATATTCTATATGAAATAGTCTGAAAATCCGATATTTTTTTCAGCCCAATCCCATCTTAGAAGCGCACAGTTTTGCTACCGGCATGAAAGTAGAAGCACTAAGTCCAAACGACATGAAGACTTTCCGCCCTGCCACAGTAACCAAAATCTTCAATAATCTCCATTTCCTGGTCGTCATAGACGATAACCTCGAGGATTACGAGGACACGAAAATGGCCTGGCTCTGTGATAACATGCATCCCTACATTTACCCTATTGGTTGGGCACAGTCACACAAACTCGATATTAAGCCACCTAAAGTATGGAAGGAAGGCGTATTTGAATGGGAGGAATACCTTTCGATGACCGCCTCCGTCCCCGCGCCCGAATACTGTTTCGGAAATAAAGAACAGCTCAAAGGAATCGAGCCCAATATGAAGTTGGAAGCGGTGAATCCTATGAACCATGAAGAAATCCACGTAGCATCGGTCGAATTAATAGTGGAACACATGTTGTATGTCGAACTTTTGCCGATCGGCGAAAAGTTTTGGTACTCCCAAGATAGTGATCTCTTATTCCCCGTAGGATGGTGTGACAGCAACAACTATGAGCTACATATACCAGATACTAACCCAAAAGAAATACCCAAGCCAACCGAGGAGCCCAAAACGATCAAGGACGACATCAAATCCACTGAAGAGTGGTGCGATAGAATATTTTTCAATTATAAATGTTACGCCGGCCCGTCGATAAGTCGGAACAAATTATCACAGCTTCCCAAAGCAGTGGGCCCTGGTCCCCTGCTGCTTGTACTAAAAGAAGTTCTGAACAAGATCATCTCGGCCTCATACAAACCGGCGAAACTGCTCAAAGATTGGGAAACTGAGGGCCCGCCGGAGGAAGGCATGAAACTAGAAATGCTACGAGCCAAGTAAGTGTGATTCATTAGAATTATTTTTAGTTCGTATTATCGTTAGTTAACCAACTTTTTTATAGAATCAAAAGTTTGAAAGTTTAGTAGTGTGTTCTTTGGTCATTTTATAGATAACAAAGTACTTATAAAAATATGTCCCAAAACATTAATGAGGTATTCTGTAATGATGATGTGTCAGTAAAAGTATATTTGTTATAGATTAAAAGCGAGCACGCACCACGCGTTCGTCCCTATAACGACGGAGCCGTCTAAGGTGGGTTCTTTCTGCCGGTCCATATGTGTCAAGCTACAAGCCTGTCCCAGTCTGTTCGGACCCGACGAGTACCCGCATCAATGTCCACACGCCTGTCAGACGGTCGAGAAGTCTACCTTCCGTGAGTATTATATAATGGTATGACGCTAACATGACCTGAATCAATGTTTCCCTTGAAATCCAGACTATACCAAAAAAAGCGTTGAATTATCCAATTTAATAAAATCTTATTTTATATTACAGATAACGGAACAGAACGACGTGGCAGGCCGAAAGGTAGCGTGAACGGAAGGAAAAAAAAGAAAAAAACACAGCAGGAGAAGAGGGAAAAGGAGCAACCGCCAGTACAGGAGATTGAACATAGAGATATAGAATCAGTTGAGAGCGAACATAGCGCTGGGTCAACACCGCCCTCGGAGTCGGGAACTAGACCGAACTCACCGGAGAGCGTTACAGATTACAAGAGGAACACTAGGAGAAAACGAGACGCTAAGAACAGTTACCCTAAACTAGAAATGAAGACACGTGGAGCCAAGTTACCAAAATTTCGCCTTCAAATGAAAGAAGCGCACTGGGACAAGAAGGACGTGGAGACGATATACAGCAACTCGTGTGTCAGCAAGAAGAGAAATACACAGGACAGTGACACTGAGAACGAGACCAACGAGAGTAGCTGCAACTCAAGAGACTCTAAGAACATATCGGACGTTAGCGACTCAGAGGAACCGGAACTGAAGAAACTCAAGTTCAATACCAACGACCCGCTGCCGACAGATAACAAGATGTTCGAGAAGAACACCACCGCCTGGGCCCGCGGGAAGATGAAGCTTTCAAGGAACCCTCTCGACTGGACGGTCGATGATGTATACAACTACCTGAGCAACACAGACGACTGTAAACTGATAGCGGACAAGATGAAGCAGGAGGAAATAGACGGACAGGCCTTCATCATGCTCGACCTGCCCATCATAACACACTTCCTGCACATGAAGAAGGAGTTCGCCATGCAGCTGTGCAAACACATCACCATGATACGGTGGTACTACATCGACAACTTCGACGACAACGCCGACATGTGATAAACATTCCTATGTACTAGTATGAAATAAAAATTATTTAAAACGATATCACATTTATTAAACATCACATCTTACGCAGCTTCTTGCATATGTAACTACATATCTTGAACATGAAAAACTTATTCTCCTCCTTGTCTTTGTCGTTGACGAACTTCTCATTTAAATGTATATTTTTCATTGCACACGAGTTCTTGACAGGAATGTCCCTGTCCATTTTTGTATCGTATACATTGTAATGGTCCTGTTCACTCACATACTTCTCTATTTCGATATTTTTTCGCCGCCACAATTTTATATTATCCGCTGAAGCTAAGTGTCCTACGTCATTCAAACATGGCTCTCGAAAATTTCTTTCAGAGAGTATATTACGTTCTGTTATTTTAACATCTAGACAAGGAAACTCACTGACGAGACATGTATTTAGCATGCCGCTGTTTGATGCTGTGTTTGAACTAGGGCTATACTCAAAATCATTAATAATGGTAGAGCTGTTGTTGACTGTTAAAATTTCTTGATTATTTTCATAATCCTTGGGACAAATAACCTCATTATTTCTATCTGTTTCTTCTATGTTTTTGTTATTGCTCACAGACACCTCTGAAGACCGTATGTTGTGTAACATGTTGCTTATAAACTCCTCGAGCTCAGTCACAGAATCACCTTTATTCTTTTGGATTATTTCGTTGAATCTCTTCTTGTAATCTTCAAAATCACACATGCTGTCGCGAAAATTATCAAATATTTGTTGAACTGTTGTTTTAAATAGTTTCAAGTTCGAGTCCAAGCTGCTAACCGTGCTCGTGTCTGTTAGTAACTCCTGGGACATCCTAGTCATGATTTTCATTTCTAATTTGTCGAGGTCAGAGTTCGTTATGGAATCTTTATTGTCGCCTGTCCCAGAGTCATATCCCTCACTGAACGAATGATCGTTGAAACTGCAATCATCTTTTACTGGTATTTCATCAAGCTCGTATTTCTTATAATATTCTTCTGATCTCTTGCTTTGTACATTACTAGTTAATTGTAAAATGTTGACATCGGATTTCCATGTATTATTCGTAATATTGATACGTGGTGAATCATAAGAATAAAAGCTATGTTGCTTTTTAATCACTATAGGCTGGTAACCTAAACAAAATTAAATTATTCATTCTTCAGTTTTAGCTTAATGAAATTCAAATAAGACCTATGGATTTAAAGAAATCCTAAAGACCAACAAAAATAATTATCTACTCCTACTTTAATATTCGTTTACTTACTCATTGTTAAAACTGCAGAAAATTTACCCTTTTTGGAGAAACTTAATTCTAATTAAAATATTGTTTCTAGAATAATCCAAAATGAAGTTAAAAAGAAAGAATGTTATTAGTTATAGCCCATCAAAAGAGTTTCATATTGTAATATATTGTAATATTTTTATAATTGTAACTTTCCTTGGTGTAAAAAAATATTTATCAATATAATAAAGTTACTCTGGTAGGTTTATTTAAATTTTTAGAGTAATAATTTTTTTAAGTATATAAATCTCATTTTAAAATTCGCGCTCTAAGCTATAGGTTACGTATACACCTGATAAATGTTATTAAATTTTTTGAAATACGCTTAAAAATTAAGTTATATATATATTTTTTTTTTATTTTGGTTAATTATAGCTATTATATAATATCCATAATAGAATTTAAAAAATATATAATATTTGACGATCACAAATAAATTCTTTTTATTATAATCTACACACACATGGTTTGAATGTTTGTACAAATATTTTATTTAAATTTACTATAGATTTATAACAGACAAGTCAAAAAATAATAAAATAAAAATATAAAAGCTCGCATAGAACTATGGCAAATCTCGCCATTGTTGTTGTCTATGCCATGGAACGGTAAAGTCTATCATCTATGGCAAACTAGCAGTTGAATTGATCACTGTCGAAACGAGAATCTCAGAGGCCCCGCCTTTAAAATCTGTAAATACTGTAATTTATTCGGACCTTTCGCGATGAAGCTTTTATAAAATAAGCTATGTAGGTATTTTTTTAATAAATAATTCGGATAAATAAATACACTTTGCTTTTGTAATACACCTATCAGATATTGAAATACAATTATCGATTTACCGACTACCGTTGCAAAAGTGAGATTGTGTGTGTTATTTTCATTCTTTAGTTATGGGATGTAGTAATGAGCAGGGCTAAGGGTTTACCGTTACATATATTTAACGTAAAACATCTCTTTGTGTCATTTTCAGTATTCATCGGTTGATATTGTTACTACTATTTTTAGTGGGTGTTGTCATTGTGGGCTTTATTCGGATTAGGTCATCAAGTGTGGTGAACATGTGTGCCGGAGGAAAGTGTTTTCGTATGATTAAATAGTATAAATCTTATTTCTTATTAGATCTATGAAGCACAGAAGCAACATGGAAACCAGTACAGTGATAATACTCTTCGCGATTTTGTCGCAAACGACAGCGCTGCGTAAGTTGTTTTGTTGTGTTCATAGCTTGAACTTCATTAAGTTTTTATCACATCTATGTTTTCTTATGATTTCAAGTTCACTTAACTTTATATAAAGGATTAATATGTTTTATATGAATATTTATTCGTATATCAACAGGTCAAAACTGTATCAAAAGTTTTTCGTATATAACACCAAGTATAACACATTACAATATTAATGCTATTTTAGGATAAAAAATATATATATTAGCTATATATTATTCTCTTATTGTATATACACATTCTAAAATTTTAAGTCATCAACTACTGTGAATAAAATAAGTTTTATAAGAAATCACTTTTATTTCAAATATATAAACTCATTTCACAACACTTTTTATTCATGTATTGGTTTTTATGTAATCAAATTTATTTTCTTGATCTACCAATAAGAAGATATCCTTTAAATGTATAAAATTTGTTAACTCTTTTAAATGTATTATTTAATTATTTTCATAGTATTAATTCATTTAAAATGTTTTAACACTCGTTAAAAACTAGGTTCCTTCACATAATCATATAAAAAAATAATAAAGTTAAGAGAAAAACTGTTCATAAGATTTACCTAACTTGATGCATAGTTAAAGCTATAAATTACATGTTAGGATAATCTTATTTTGAGGAATAAATTGTACTTCACCCCATTTCAAGTCGATTTTCCCTTTCAAAGACAAATAGGACAGCAAAAATAGGGCACTCTTGTTAACTCTGTGCAATATTATTTGCAATGCTAATATTATTCTTACATCATAATTTATACAATTCCTTCTGTACTAGGAACAATATATTATGAATATTAATTGTTTATATAATTTTATATACAAGTCTTATAGGAACTCAGACATCTTATATGTACTAATTATTTAGAAGAAACATTATATTACTTAAATATTTAATTTTGTTCCTTCTAAAATAATACCTTTAAAGAAAAAGTATCTTAAATAAAAATCTAAGAATGTAGAAGCGTTAAATAATTACACATTTCTTAGTATATGTATCGGCAATGAAAGATTTTAACCAGTTTTCAATTTAATTTTTACATATATAATTTATATTTATTTCTCACGATACAATATATTACTGATGCTAACAATTAAAAAGTACAAAGCTTATATACAAAAATTTTATGTGCACAATATACCTTGATTTTATTATATATATGTTATATGTTTTGAATATATATTTTACATATATATTATCTCAACAGTAACATCACCACCAAGGATTGTGAAGCAGCCCACAGTAGAAGAACTGCTGTTCCAAGTGGCACAGCCGGGGGAGGTGGACAAGCCGTTCATCATCGAATGTGAAGCAGAGGGAGAACCTGCACCCAAGTATGTGATAATATACTAAGAATATTATATAGCAAATGTTTGTGAGGATGTATGTATGTTTGTTGATCTTTCACATAAAAACTACTAAACAAATTTTGAATAATGTTAACAATTAAGTAGTTTAAACTTTGTAATAGTATGAGGAGGATAGATTTAACCCTGTTCCTGCAGGATTACTGCATTACACTTGTATGAAGTATGATAATACTTGACATATTATAGATGCCACTTATTTATGGCGGTCATGTCTATCGTTTTAAAACTTTATATATATGTATATATAATATTAATATTCTAAGCCCAATACCGATCACCAGTACAATAAAATCGTCGGCAAAAACTAGTAAATAATAAATTATATACTCGACCTCAGCTTGCTATCATTAGAAATGTAGTATGACAAATACCTTAAATCAAAAATTCTGAAAATAATGAAAAAAAATTCTCAGTATTGTCGTGTTTACTATACATAAAAATTTTTTATTGTGTGAAATGCATGTGTATGATGTAGTTTGTAAATTAAAACAGTGTTTACAAAGCAGTACGTGAAAGTTGTAAAAACGTAGAAGGCGGCTGTAAACTTGTGTATGTAGGTCGGCTATAGCCGTATAACACGAAGCATCTAGCTATCAGGTTTCAACCATTTGATGACCAAATAGTCATTTCGGCGAGGATCGAAGTTCGAACCCGCTTTCCGGTTACACAGTGTTGTATTTCCGTTTTCCTATTTCACATATCGGATGGAAAATTGGATTTCGCATTTGAAATTGATTTTTTTTACGATCTTTCTGCCTGAGATTGAAATGTGTGAATCATTTCGAAGCTTTTTGAGATCAGGTTTTTATATGTAAAGAATTTTATATATAGCATACATAATATTATATAATGTTTTATATATGTGTATATTATACATATGTATTATCTTCGTTTTATTAATATGTATTGATAAGCAGGTCGTTGAACTATAATTCATTCGTGGGACGCTTTTTCTTAAGTTCCCCCCGTTAAGTAAACAAGCTCGGTTACATTCATAACAATATATATGGCTGGCAATTTTGTCGACTTGCCTTATTCAAATACAGGACTTTCTGCGACGGGAGAGAAAATTATATACAAAATAACAAAGAAATAAAATGATTTTTATGTATAGGTCGTGTAAAAATAGTGATTATTGTATACTGTTAGATATACTTGTGCTTATAAATTACAATATAGTGTTTCTGTATTTTTATCATACATTTGCTAAAGAATAATTATAAAATTATTGAACAGAAATTGAATATATGAAATCTGTTCCATATTTCAACGTACACTCAACTCAACTCTCTCGATACGAGGAGTGTACTTGAATATCGATCGTTATTTTTAAGGACATTCAGTGTTTTTCAAACATTTTAATTTAATACGTAATTCCTTAACACTAAAATTTAGTTATAATTATAAAAGTGTAATAGGAGATCACGTAGCAATAATCTCTTGTTGAATTATAATATTAAACGTGCCTGTACGTTAACTCGGCCGTGCAAATGTTGAAAGCTCTCGTCTAGAACTCTCATCCTGCAGTTTTCTCTTTGCTCGCCAATTTAATAGAGCACTCTACGTATTCAACAATGAACAAATAGGCTACGGCTATGCGCGGTTACCGAGCGCTTACTCCGACTATGGCTTTTATTTGAAACGTTATGGTATTTGCACGTTTCGTTTGAATGAAGTCTACTATATTCATATAGTAGTATAAAAAAAAAATGATTTTCAAGCAGTTAAAATTTGCGCGTAAATTATTTATGTATGTATTCGTTCGTGTATCTTGGATGCTGAAATATTGCAGGAGTAATCATTGCTCCTTTTAAGAAAACTATTCATATTGTAAAACATTTTAACCTCAATTTTAACATAAAACTACTATAATAGTTAGCTTAACTATAGTATAAAATACGGCTCCATACAACAGCATAAAAGCTGTGGCGTACTGCGTTCTTTTATGTGAAAATCAATGCATTCGCCATTAAATACATCGCGCAAAAAAAAACTCCCGGCTGTATGGAGTTACAAAGTGTTTGTTGACAAAGGAAATGTGAGAATGTCTTGGGGGATGACGGACGGGTCACACTACCCTTAGGAGACTCTTGTTATATGACCGCAATACATGACACAAGTCTCATATAAAACTGTATATAAATTTTAACCTACATTTCCATGTTTTCTAACATGTAATCGTAATTAAAATGTGTATGTTTTTTTGTTTTAAAAATAGCACTGGAAGTTTTGTTTCATCGCCTCGCGTACTGCTGCCCTAATTTTAATTCCGACTAATTTAAAAGCATACCGTGCACTCGTTTTATACTCTACGATAGTTATTTTACAACACGAACTTGTATCTTATACATTTTTCATACCAATTATATTAACATAACAAGATGTGGCATGTTTCATAATGAGCATGCATCTTGTTTTGAATCGCATTCGTCATAATAAAGTTACTTTTTGTTTCCCTATGACGTCATATGTTACTAAGTACTAACTAAATTCAATACGGTACAACAAACAGTTTTAAACGTGAAAAGAACAAAGCTAGTTAAAGTTGAATCAGGATTATATGGACACTTGAAACTAAAACAAGTACGTTAAAATTATAAGAGTTACACTTAATATGAACTATAGGTACTCAATGAAACCATTGAATTCTAAGAGGACGGTGGCAATAAAAGACTAATACATAATTGACTGTAAAACATTAATACTATTATACAATTGTTTCTTTGTTCATTTCGTAACTGAGTATTTTTTTATCAAAATACATATGAAGGTAGTAGGGAAAGTTAAAAATAATCCCGCCGACCTTACACGCGTGACGTAATCCTGTTTAAAGAATTTAAAAATATTCTTCACATTATTATGATTAATTTTAGATATAAATAATTATGACACACATATACAAAATAATATACAGGGTAACTGGTGAATTACTATCGATATTTGAGGACGTGATATTTGACGATCATATATGACAAAATAAAAATTAATATAACATAAATATTAATAAACTTCTAAGTAAAGTTAACCAAAAGTTATGTAATTAATTATGCATCGTGTGAACACCCTACAGATTAGGTATACACTGACACTCACACATACGCATGTCGTGACGTGGTGTTGTATCAACACGTCGCCGCACGCGTCCACACTTGAACACTTGGAACGTGTCAACACTTAACTTATTTATAGGGAAATTTTGTCAAAAATTAAGTGCCTATTTTTTTTACATAATTCGAATGAGAATCATGTACCGAGTATGCTCCTTAAATATTGATAGTAATTCACCAGTCACCCTGTATAAGGCATGTTTAAATCAATTAATTTGTTTCAGTAAATATATTTATATTTAAGTTTTTTCCTTATAATAAATATAACATATTTACTATATATTTGGAGATTTTCATTAAATATTTATTAATTCAGAATTCGGTGGAAGCGGCTCGTGTTCTCGGAACAGTTCACGCAAAATCGTTACTTGACAACATTATTCGATACTGTACTGCGTTGACTACACACATACACACACACACACACACACACACACACACACACACACACACACACACGCACGCACGCACGCACGCACGCACGCACGCACGCACGCACGCACGCACGCACGCACGCACGCACGCACGCACGCACGCACGCACGCACGCACGCACGCACGCACGCACGCACGCACGCACGCACGCACGCACGCACGCACGCACGCACGCACGCACACACACACACACACACACACACACACACACACACACACACATACACATACACACACATACATATAGAGACACCCAAACACACACCCATAAATATATCGTATTGACACTCGACATTGCTTGTTTTTAGATTGGTAGATATTATTATGTTTTGTAAAATTAAGTCTCATAAATTACATTCGCAATCCCCATGTTAAATCTTATGATAAATTTATTTCATCTCATTGTGTTGTTTCATATTTGTGAACAAGTCGAAAGGCATTCAACGTTTTTTAACATAAAAATGCCGTAATGGCATATATGTAGATTGCATTCTGCTAACAAAAAATGCTTAAGACAATATAAGTATATATAATAATATTCTTATTTAATATGAACCACTTAGGCTATAATAATATATACTAGTAATTTTTTTCTTTAAAGTATACTAAAGTGAATTATAAGACAAAAATCCTATACACTTAACACAAAGACAGTTGCCTTTGACGACCCTGACAAGATCAGTTGGTTATAAAGAGAATAACATCAAGTTATAGCTTCAGTGACATTAAAACCGAACATGGATGTTATATTCCAATAATACACAAGGTAATAATAAGAATTCATTAGAAAACAAAAGTATTTATAATTTAATTTTGGTCATCTATCCTATTCATGCACATTAATCTATACTAATAAAAAAATCTGAATTGAATTCTCTGTTTTTAAGTTAAAAAGCTTCTCTATTGACCCCAAATGCAACATCAGAATTGCATTTAAAAAAATCTATTTGTCTGTCTGTCTGTTTGTTCTCTTATTCTCTCTAAAAATTAAACCGTTTTTGAAATGCATTTCGTCAGCAATGTTATGAGTTATAATTTTGCTACTCTTTAACTGAATTCAAAACGACGAAGTTTTGTTATAGTAGCAGATTTTCCAAATTAGTTTTTTTTTCGAAGAGGCATTGTACGAAAAATCGATAGAAAAGTGATAATGATGATAAAGCTCATCCCAAGTGGTTTTATAAGCGCGTAAAGCCACAGGAAATAGCTTGTATGCTTATTTATTTATTACAAGGTGATGGTGAATGTTTTCGGTGTGATGACGGTACGTATGATGTCAGCGGGACTCAACCGAGTAAAGGTCAACACCTGACCTCTTATGAACAGTATGACACGATTATATTTATAGAAATAGCACGCAATCGATATAACTGTATATTGATGAAAAAAAAAAATTTTTACCAAACTTAGGAGTGCTTCCGAT